TACATCATGTGCAGGTACAAGCACCCAATGATAAATGTAAACGTATTATATACCTAAAATGTACCAATAAAAGAATTTAAGGGGAAAAAAAATAAAAGAAGTCTAAAGCTAGGCATGGTGGCTCATGCCTGTAATCCCAGCACTCAGGAGGCTGAGGCTGGAGGATCCCTGTAAGTTTGAGACCACCTTGAATTACACAGCAAGACTCTGTCTCAGGGGGAAAGAAAAGTCTGAAATTTGGAATTGAGTCCTAAACATTTCAAATAGTCTTTAACTACTTCTACTTCTTATGTTAATGTTTTCTTTTTTTCTTCTTTTTTCTTTTTTGTTTTTTTGAGACAGGGTGTCACTATGTAGCCCAAGCTGGCCTCAAACTTGAGGCAATCCTCCCAGGTGCTAAGATTATAGGTGTGCATCATGATGCCCAGCTAATGTTTTACTTTCACACCACATTGTAAATTTCTAAATATCCCAAGGTGAGCTGAGCCCCGTGTTACCCTTTCAGGTAACTTTATTGTAGGCCTCCTCTGGGCCCTAGTGCCCATTCTGGTCTTCAGAAATCACAGAATTTCAGAGCTGAAAAAGCATGTAGACAATGTCAGTTCATTCCTTCATTTTTCAGCCAAAGAAGGAAGAGCCAGGAGGTTAAATTGCCCCAAGCCCCAGTTACTGCCAGAGCCAGGGACCAAGAACCCCAAATCCGGTTGAGTATGGTTGTGCACACCTATAATCCCAGGATTTAGGAGGCTGAGGCAAGAGGGCTGCTACAAATTTAAGGCCAGCTGGAACTGCATAGGAGACCCTGTCTCAAAAAAAAAAAAAAAAAAGCCCTAGATTTCCATACTGGGCTGATATTTTTCTCCACTCCATTTGCCCACCTCTCTACCCCATCCTGTAAGACACCAGGCTGGCCAAGGTAACCTTGGGTTGGCCACCTTGCAGGAAGTCCACAAAGGCCAGGGCCCCCAGGGCCTGGTAAATAAGAAAGTTATGTAAACAGGTGGTTCTTGGGGGTGTGGGGTGAAAGGACAGCAGTGGGTTAAAGTTAACTCCAGACAGTGATGCAATAGCAGAATCCAAATTACGTGCAGGTCGCTTTAAGAATAGTTGTTTAAAAAAAAAAAAGGAAAAGAAAAGAAAAGAGAAAAAAAAGGGAAAGAGTAGTTGTAATCTGAAGCTTGCTGGAGGCTGGGTTGGGAAGCAGCTATAAAAGCTCTAGCGCTTGCTGGAGCCCCCTCAAACTGCAGACTGAGCAGACTGAAGCTGGTGTAGAGCTGGGAGTGGAGCTGCAGCGAACCACAGGTAAAGCAGCTTGGGGTCTGGTCTGTGGGTCAACGCAAGACAGGAGGGGCTCCCCAGGCTAGTGGGCCTGGGAGAGACAGGGGTACCCTGGGAACAGAAAAAAAGGGCATGCAAGGAAGAGATGGAGGAGGGTAGCCCCTGCAGCTTGGGCACCAGCATGATTGAAGAGAAGGCAGAAAGAGAGAGCAGAAGGCTGGGATCCAATTATCCCCAAACCCCACTGCAACCAAAGACATAAAAGGACTTTGAATGAAGTGACTGGGAAACAATGGGGTGGGGTTCTGGAAGCAGAGAGCTAAGCTCTAGGTCAGGTCTGAGCAGCTGCTCAAAAGGGCTTCAGCCCCAAGAGATGTGTCCCCAGGGGTGTCTGGAGGGTGACTGCCTTGCAGCCCAGCCTGGCTTCCTCTCACTCCTCTAGCTCCTGCTTTATAAAAATCAACTGGTGCGGATTTCAACGGTAATTTCCCAACACCACCAAGCAGTTGGCTGCTGTGGGATGGAGTATAGCTGGGGTCTTCTGTCCAGGACCCCTAGTGAACTGTAAAAGCTGGAAAACAGAGAAGTCCTGGCCCCTTGTGAACAGCAGCCACCATTTAGCCCAGCCAGTGTGTGGGTTGGGGGGCTTGGCTCCACGGCCACTCTTTTCATTCTGCAAGCCGCAGCAGGGAGTAGTCTGAGCCAAAGAAAAGTTGCTGGCTTTTAAACCCACCACTGTCTGGCCTGTGGGTCTCCACTCCAAGTTCAGTCTTTAGCCTGAGGGGGGCTGGGATGAGGACCAGGGAGTTCTAGTCCCAGGGCTGGTGCATCTCGAGTAGGGGGATGTGAGATTCTGGGGTGTCTTGGCCTGACTCACTTAGGTTCTAAGATTTCAGAAAATATACTGCCTGGGGGCTGGTGGTGTCATCATGGGTGGGCCAGAAAAGACCCTTGAAAACTCCCAGAGCTAGGGGAGAGGGAGGGAGGTGCCCTTCCTTGCACTGTCCACAGTTTCTGCTGCTATGTGGCTTGAAGGCTGTGTGGTTCTGTGAGGAGGAGGGGGAAGAAGAGGAGGAGCCATGGTGTTTGTCTCACAGCTGGGTTTAATCTGAAACACATGTTCTGGCTCATGTTTATCCTCCCAGCTTGGATGCAAGCTCCCAATATCCCAGTTCCTGCGCCTCTTGGATAGTGGCAAAAAGGAAGGTTGACCTTAGCCCAGGCTGTCCACCACCTCCCATATTCTCCCCCACCCGGCAGGCCAGGAGTCTGGCTCAGATTCTGCCCTTTGGACAGGATAGCGTCATTGTCCCTGTGCCCCTGGCCAGCCAATGGTTGCCCCAGCCTACAGGACAGTCACCTTGCACAGGTCCTTGAGTATGCTCTGGGAACTTGCACTCTAGATCACTTCTCTCTGGCCTGGTAGGGGGTTTAGTCTCTCTACTTCCTGTGTCTCTATGGCTTGAGGTGGAGGATTCAAAGTCATGGCCATTAGTACTACCTCTCCTGCATCGGCCAGCTTTAGACCCTTGTCCCTTCCCCTGCCAGCTTCTCTCACTTCATCTCATCCTCAGTTTAACCATGTAGTGACAATGATCAGTTACATCGATCTGGAGCTTAGGTTTAGGCTTCGCAGGGAGTCAGGAAGGTCTCACTTTCAAGTGCTGAACTATTGCCTGAAGTTGTTCCTTGAAATACTATGCCAGGTTGACTGTTCTTTCTCTTTTCTCTCAGTTCCCTACCCCGGCAAGAGGTCAGCTGGGGCGAGCTGACAGCTTTTCCACTAGCCTTGCCTCCTAAGCATTGAACTGAATTTTCAGTCTCCAATAAACCAGTCCCTTGGGGCTCAGGCAAGGAAGGCTCTGGACAGCTCTGGGCAGAGCTGGTTGGGTGGAGAGCATCTGTAACCAAGTGTGGAGGTCTCTATCTCTCTCCACCCAGGACGCTTTTCTCGCAGTCTGAATGGGTGTGCTTCCCTGAGCAGCAGGGCAGCCATGTGGAAGAGCAGCTGGCTGAGAACACAGGGGGCCCTGAACTCTTACTCAGTCAGCTCCAGCAGAGGGTTTAGAAAGACAGCCCAGCTGGTTCCTGCTAGTGGTACTGACTTAAGCTGAACAGACTCAAGGATCTTTTCTTTGTTGCCTTTCCTGCACTACAATGTTGTCTGGTGGATTATTAGACTTAATTTTAAGGACTTCAGCCAACAATCACATGCTGCCTTCCTAACTTTTCTGATCCAATTTTTTTGGGAGATCAGAGAAGTTAGGGTGCTGTGTGTATAGGGGAGTGTTGCTGTGTATATGAAGGGGATGTGATGGAACCCAGCAGACCCCCAGGGATGGTGTGTTGCAGGACAGGAGGAGGGAGACTGGACCAGCCAAAGTTCTGGCTGCTAAGGCCTTGTCAAACTTTGTAATTAAATGCTTCTTGGGGTGCTGTCTGTAAACACCCCTTCTGCCTTTGCCACTCCTCCTTCCTGAGTTCAGGGTGAACACAGAGATGAGGTGAATGCAGGAACGTCTAGAGCCCTAGACCCAGATTTGAGAGTTTTCCTTGTGGTCCAGGTGCCAGACCACAAGGTAGGCAGAGGGGCCACTACTGCAGAGGTGAGGTGAAGGGATGTAGAGTCTTACTAAGAAGCAGGCTGGGCAGGTGTGGTGGTGCTTGCCCATAATCCAAGGAACTCAGAAGGCTGAGGCCAGAGGATTCCAAGTTTGGGCCAGCCTGGACAACTAAGTAAGACACTAAGAATAAAAAGGGTTAGAGATGTAGTTCAGTATTCCCTGGGTTCAATGCCCAGGACAAACAACAAACAAACAAACAAAACAAACATAGTTCAACCTGAAGGAAAGAAGGCTCCAGGGGCTTAAGAGCTATTTTCAAGCTGGGAGAAATGAGAGGACGTGGCTCCACAGGGGAGGGGACTGTGGGACTCTCCTTGAAGAGCATGTTTGGCTCTGGGATCATTTGAGAGCTTACTGATCTCTGGAATTAAGTGCTGCTTAAGGTACTGGTTAATTTTTTAATCCTTATAATAACAGGTAAGTACTACTTTAATTACATTTTACAAGGAAAAGAACTACTACTTAGAGACCAATTAAGACCTAGAATAGAGATTTAAACCCAGATATAGACCCTGCATTTTGACCCATTAGGGGAGGAGGAGCTCTTGAAATGGAAATGAGAAGGGAATAAGCACCCCTATCGGCCCATAGGTTTCGGGCCAGAGGAATCCAAGAAGCTTGAGAACTTACTGGGGACAGAAGGTGTTGGACTGGATGCTTCCATTCTTGGTATTTCGTGATTCTAGGGATGAGACCTGGGTTCTGCCCATTCTCTCAGGAGACAGGGGCCCAAATCCTGTCAGACAAGCTGGGTGGGTACCTCCTGGGAAAAGCCTCAAAGTGTACTTGTGCTAGGCCATAGTTCACAATGAGGAGCCCACTGCCAGGGGTCTTCACTGCTCTGGAGCCTTAGGTTCTAATATGGGTCACTGGATACAGGCCGTGGACAAGAGCACAGCTCAGGGTCTGACTGGATTGAGAGCAAGTGCACAGAGAGATCTGCTGGGAGGGTGCAGTATTCAAGCTCAGGGTCCACGTCCAGGCTGGGGAGGCGGGAGGGAAGGTGCTCACTCTATCTGTCCTCTGTCTCCTGCCCAAGATGGTGTGGCAGGGCAGGATGGCGAGGAAGGGAAGTGGCCTGCACCTCCCGCTTCTCTTGCAGGCTCACGATGCAGGTCCTCGTGCTACTCCTCTGGACTGGAGCCCTGCTAGGGCATGGCAGCTGCCAGAACATTGCCAGCAGCCCGGAGGTCAGTGGTGGTTGGTGGGTGAGGGCATCAGCTGTCCTAGCCTTTCCTCGGCAGGCAGTGTGGGAGATGGGCCTGGGAGGTTATACCGGGGTTCTAAGCTGGGCTCCGGCCTTTATTCCTCTAGGGTCTTGGTTTCTCCAGCAGTATTTTTCAGAGGACAAAGTAGGGACAAAAATATGATCCAAATGTGAGGAGTGGTAGCACATACCTATAATCCCTGCACTCAGGAGGCTGAGGCAGGTGGATCACAAGTGAAAACCAGGCTGGGCTACCTAATGAGTTCAAGACCATTGTAGAGTGTTCCTTGTCTAAAAAAAAAAAAAAAAAAAAATACTCAAACAAGTCTGGGGGCTGCCCCTTCTGTAAAGACCTTTCCCCAAGTTCCTTGTACTACTTGTGGGGCTGAGTGGGCAGTGGTCTCTGACATTTACTCAGATACTGACCAGAGGTGCAGCAGAGGATGGATTAGTGTGGAAAGACCATCTCCTGTCCAGTGAGGGCATAGTTGGGTCGCAAAGGCAGATACAGACATTTGGAGAGCAGCCCCTGCTAATGTGACAGTGTGTGTGTGCCTGTCACAGGAGGGACAAGGCAGTTGGGATATATTAGCAGGGGCCCAGGACTTGGTTGTGGGTTCTGAGTTTGAGTTCTGACCCTGCCTCTTCTGGTTTAGTGACTGTACATAAGTCACTCTTAAATCACTCCCTGTTTCCTTAGAGGGCACCGTGTCCACTCAGTTATTTCTCACCTGAATGGATAGAAATGTAAAAGATTCAGTTTTTGCTTTTGAGGAAGTCAATTCTTTTGAGATACTAGTCTTCTGGTATATCAGATAAATACATTAAGTGCAGAATGAAGTAAGTCAGAAAGAACTAGCAGGTACTGAGGGTGTGGCTCAGTGGTAGAGTGCAAGGCCCTTGGTTCAATCTCCAGCACCGTAAAACAAAACAAAAAACTAGCAAAGAGCTTGGCACAGTGGTAGGTGTCTAGTAAGTAAGTAGGTGGTAGCTGACTCTGAGAAAAGGTCAGAAAAATGAGTTTCCTTCAAATAGGAAGGGAAAAATCTGTTTTGGAGAAGTTGTGCTCATGAAAGTCAGAATGGGGTTTGATGGGAGGGTCTAGGAAGAACCCTGGAGCCAGTGGGTTTCCTGGGGGAGGGAGGGCCTTGATTTTGGGATTTTTGGTTTTTTTGAACTGTGAGTGGAACCCAGGGCCTCATGCATGCTAGGCAAGCATCCATTCAATCACTGAGCCACATTCCCAGCTGCTTTTTTTTTTTAAAAGTGTGTTGGGCCAGGGATTTAGCTCAGTGGTTTCACCACCTGCCTTGCAAGTGCAAGGTCCTGGGTTTGATCCCCGGTACCAAAAAATAAAAATAAAAAAATGTGTGTTACAGGGCTGTGGCTCACAGTTCACACACAGGCTTGTAGCTCACAAGTCCTTGAACCTGGCCAGCTAATCTCTCTTCTAGGCTGCCTCTCCCCAGCAGGGAGCTCACACATAACCAGGGAGCACAAGCTTATTCTGACTCTGGGCCGAACAGGTCAAAATTAGGAAGGAGAGCTCCTAGGACCCAGAACACAAGCCCATTCGGTGCCATGAGAGGACACCGTTCACTGCTTGTCTCCGCTGGTCCCTCAATTCTAAGTCAGGTCCTCCTGACTCCTGCCAGGCCTCCCAGGATCCTGAGAGCACAGGGGAGCCAGTGGAGGAGGAAGACCCCTTCTTCAAGATCCCTGTGAACAAGCTGGCAGCAGCCGTCTCCAACTTTGGCTATGACCTTTACCGGCTGAGATCCATCGAGAGCCCCACCTCCAATGTGCTGCTGTCTCCGCTCAGTGTGGCCACAGCCCTCTCTGCCCTTTCGCTGGGTGAGTGCACAGCCAAGTCACAAGGGCCACAAGGTGTGGTTCTGGGAGGCAGAGAGGTGCTGGGAAGCTGGCCCTGCAGGATTGTGGCATGTGCATGTGGGAACTTGAGGACAGCATACAAATTCCCACTTGTTGATATAGTGACGTCAATATTCATTCTTTCCTTCAGTGAGCCTCTACTATGTGCTAGCCATTTGCCCGGGGTTCTAGGGATATAACCACCCACGGGAGGTCTGGGGTCACCTCAGTGGGGTCATAGAGGAGCTCACAGGGGACACTGATGAAAGGGTAACTATACAACAGTGTAGGTGCTGTAGTGGGAGAAGTACAGGGACTTGAACCCCCAGCCTTACCTCTCTAGGCTTGATACCTTTATCCTACTTTAGGAAAATCTCTAAGAATGAAGTCACTGCTTTTTCCATTGTCCTTGAATTCCTTGTTGACCTAGAAGGTCTGCAATATCTGCCTACTCAGGCTCCCAGCAGACAAAATGGAGTATAGAATTCCTGTCCTGGGAGAGGCCTGACTTGGCTAAAGAGGCTCCATCCTTGTCTCTCTGGCAGGAGCCGAACAGAGAACAGAATCCATTATTCACCGGGCTCTCTACTATGATGTGATCAGCAATCCAGACATCCATGGCACCTACAAGGAACTTCTTGCCACTGTCACTGGCCCCCAGAAGAACCTGAAGAGTGCTTCCCGGATTGTCTTTGAGAGGAGTCAGTCACCTTTCCGGCCTGGGCTGCCTGAGAGCCTGGGGCTCCATGTTCCACGCTGGGGGTTTCTTTCTAAACAACAGATGATGTGTGCTCAGGCCAGGCCTGGCACTGGTGGGCAGGAAGGGGCCCGTGAGCCCAAAGAGGATCAGAAAGAGGAAGTGGGCTGTGGAGACAGCGGGTGGGTATGGGGAGGGCAGTCACATGAAGAGGAACAGCAGTGGGAAAAATGAATTGTTCCCTGTTTGGTGCCCAGGGAAGCCGGCAGAAGTCCTGGTGAGTCACCAGAAGATGCCGGGCAGGAAGCTGGGGCCTGCTGAGTGCTGAACCAGAACCTAAATCTGCCATGCTCTCAAACACAGGGTGCTGGTTCAGCTCTCTTGCACTAATCTTGCTCCACCTCTTCTCAGAGCTGCGGATAAAATCCAGCTTTGTTGCACCAATGGAAAAGTCATATGCAACCAGGCCCAGAATCCTGACTGGTAACCCTCGAATTGACCTTCAAGAGATTAACAACTGGGTGCAGTCCCAGATGAAAGGGAAAATCCCCAGGTCTACAAAGGAAGTGCCCAGTGGAATCAGCATTCTCCTTCTTGGCGTGGCTTACTTCAAGGGTGAGGGCTTCTCCACTTCTTTGGCCAAAGTCAGATGGCCAGCAGGTGTAGAGGGGCCTAAGTAAGAGAAGTCAAAGACCCTACCCAACATGAACCCAGGGGCAGAGCCAGAGGAGGCTCTGAGAACTGCATGTGCCTCAACACATCTGCTTATCATCTACTAAGTGTCTACAGTGTTTGATAAGTATCTACAAATTGTGAAAGGCCTAACTGTGGCTGGGTATTGTGGTCAGTTTCTGACTTTTGAGTCAGACCAAGTTTAAATCCTAACTTTGTCTTTATGAGCTGCTGGACGGTATACAAGTTTCTTAGCCTTTCTGGGCTCATTTCCTCATCTTTAATGTGAAAGTCCCACCCTCCTTCACAGACACTTCGTATGTCTTCTCTTGTTTTCACAACAGCTGTATCTGAGACACAACAGTGCTTAGGAAGCTATTGTTAGTTATCTATTTATATTCTTCAGCTACAGTGGTGAGATGCCCAGAACTGTTTCAGAGGCCTCATGTGAGGCCAGTCTCATTCAGATGAGGCCTTGGAAGGGAGTGGTTTGGGCAACATCTCCCTTAAAATGCTTTGACTCAGGGTGGGGTGTCCCATCACCATGAGTTTGAAACCAGCCTGGCTCCATAGTGAATTCAAGGTAGCCTGAACTACATAGCAAGACCCTATTTCAAACAAAACAAAACACCCAAAAAGAAAACAAAACCCCCCAAAACTTTGTGACATCTGTCACAGAGCAGCAACAGTGGACCGCCTATGCAACTAGGGAGAAGTCAAATGGCCATTTCAAGCACTGACATCTAGGGAGTGAGAAAACAGTCATAGGCCCAGTATAGTGAAGGCCACATGACTCCAGAGTCAAATCAACCCCATCAATTTATTTCCAACTGAGCTTGTTTGCAGAAGGTATTCAGGGTCTTGGAAATACTGTCACCCAAACCACACATGCTGAGATAGAGCAGCTGTTCCTAATGACTAAGGTTCTTTTGGCTGGGTGACTTTCAACAACGGTCCCTTGTAGACACAGCACAACCCAGTGGTCTCTTTAGCATCTGGGGCTCAGGACACTCTGTCATTTCATTCCAGGGCAGTGGGTATCAAAATTTGACTCCAGAAAGACTTCTCTCCAGGATTTCTACTTGGATGAGGAGAGGACTGTGAAAGTCCCCATGATGTCAGACCCCAAGGCCACTTTACGCTATGGCTTCGATACTGATCTCAACTGCAAGGTCTGGACGGGTGAGGTTGGTGTGGGTGGTGGGAGAGGTTCGAGGCAGGTAGAAAGGTGTTGTGGAAATGGAACGACCTTTGAGATCTGACAGCTGTCTGAATTTTGCCTGCTATATAAGGAGCAAGTTACTAACTTCTCTGAGCCTTTCCTCTTAAAATAGGATATAAGGGATATAACCAAAAATTATTCACTCAGGGTTTAAGGGTTTGTAAGAAATGGGTCCTCATGATTTGGCACTCAGATATTGATGTCTTCTCCTGAGACCTTTTGTTTTTAGAATTAAGAGCCAAATTTTGAAAAATTTTCACAAACTCCACATTGCTGCTAGTGTTCTAGGGTTTTATGAATACTTTTTTTTTTTTTTTGCAGTGCTAGGGTTGGAACCCAAGGCCTCATACATGCTAGGCAACTGCTGTTTTACCACTGAGCTACATTCGAAGCCTGACTTCCTTGAATTCTAAGCTAGCAGTTCTTAACTTTCTCTTTGGGAATTTGACAAAAGCGTCTGAAACACAAGAGAAATGACATTTGTACACATGGACACACTTTTGTATATGGGTTTCAGGGAGCTTCTGACAGCATTTGTTCCATGGGCCTTAGGTTAAGAACTTTTGTTCAAAGGAGCCACTTTAATGCCGCTTCTATATTGTACCCAATACCACTTTTAGCCCAGTGTTCTGCACAAAGAAATGATCAGTAAGTTGGAAGATCTTGATGTATGTCCATTCCTGGGCTCTTGGGCTCCCAAGGGCTAACTCACATGGTTTCTCTTTGTTGGTTCAGATTGCCCAGCTGCCCTTGACTGGAAGTATGAGTGTCATCTTCTTTCTGCCTATGAGGGCAACCCAGAATTTGACCATGATAGAAGAGAGCCTCACCTCTGAGTTTGTTCATGACATAAACCGAGAACTGAAGACTGTCCAAGCGGTCCTGAGCATCCCCAAGCTGAAGCTGAGTTTTGAAGGGGAAGTTACGAAGACCCTGAAGGAGATGAGTATGTTTGCAAGATCCTTTTGCTCTTTGGAGATGGGGTGAGGTGGACTTTGAGCCATCACTGTACCAAGCAGAACTCAAGGGCCCATGGCCTGGCAGGGAGGTCCTGGATGCTTGCTCCATTCTAACAGTGCTGGACTTCCACAGAGTCCTCCAACAGGAGCTCAGAACACTGCCTGTCAGGACAGGTCTGTGTCATCTGGTTTCTAATCTAAACCTCATTTGTTGTGCGCTCTAGGGCAAGTTACCTATCTCTCCACCAGCTCTGGGTGCTACATGCCTTACAGAAGGTCAAAAACAGTCCTCTTCCAGCTTGTCCCACCTTTTTTTTTTTCCTCTTGTGACACTAGGGAGTGAACCCAGGGCCTTTGCCCTGAGTTACATCCCCAGGTTTTTATTGTATTTATTTATAATTTTTTATTTTGAGACAGGGTCTTGCTAAATTTCCCAGGGTGAATTTGAACTTATGATTCTCTTGCATCAGCTTCCAGGAGTGCTGGGATTATAGGCAATGCACCACCACCTTTGGCTTGTTGGCCTTCTTGAGAATCGGGATTTAGGAATCAAGATTTTGTTACTGCCAGCCACAGTCTTTGGGGGAGATGCTCAATGGCTGCTGCAAAGGCAGCAGGGCTGGCACTGTGGTAGCTCCTGGGCCAGGATGGGCCTAGGCACTGGGTAGCAGCAGCATAAACCAGGTGTGGTGGTGCGTGCTTATAATTCCAGAATTTGGGAGGCTGAAGCAGGAGGATCACCATGAATTTGAGGCCAGCTTGGGCCACACAGTGAATTCAAGGCCAGCCTTGACTCAAAAACAAAGAATAAGAATCAGGATTGTTACTTTTTTGTTGGGGTGTTGGATAAGGCAGAGTTTCCATGGGAATCTCATTCAATCTTTGCAGAGCTGCAATCCTTGTTTGAGTCACCCACCTTTAGCAAGATCACAGGGAAATCCATCAAGCTTACTCAAGTGGAACACCGGGCTGGTTTTGAATGGAATGAGGACGGGGAAGGAACTGCTGCCAACCCAGACCTCCAGCCCGCCCACCAAACCTTCCCCCTGGACTATCACCTGAACCAACCTTTCATCTTTGTCCTGAGGGACACAGATACAGGGGCCCTTCTCTTCATAGGCAAAATTCTGGACCCCAGGGGTACTTAACGCTCCAGTTTAATGTTCTAGTACTCTAGAAGAAAACCCCTAGGGATGGCAGTTTATACACTAGGAGGGCAGCCCCCATAGTTTCAATGTATACTTTGCAATAAAAGAGCTTTAACCTTAACTTTTGTTACTTTGTTCCTCCTGTTTTGAGATTTGCTGTTGACCATGAAGATAAATTACCCTTTAGGAATTTGCTAGTCCTATACTTTTAGCCTGGTTGTATTTAAACTCTGCAGAAAGTCACCATTTATAAGGGTGTTTGGTTATCTGTATTGTGGAACGCAGGGACTGCTTTTCTGCTCTGAGGGAGCTTACGGGTTAGGATCATCGATCTCTCAGGAGGACATCTCCTGCTCCCGCCATTGGTGGAGCAAGTCGGGTAGTAAGCTTTCTGTGGTTATAACAGGGATCTGAGATCACTAGTAGAAGAATAGGTTTATTTTGGCTCACAGTTTTAGAGGAGGTTCCATGACTGACCCCGTTGCTCTTGGATGTGTGATGAGGCAATACATCATGGCAGGAGCTCACGGTGAAGAACACGACTCATCTCTTGGCTGGAGAGCAGAGAAAGAGGAGACCAGGGTCCCACTATCCCCCTGAGGGTACGACACCCCCTAATGACGTAAAGACCCCCGACTAGGCCCCACCTCTTAAAGGTTCCACACCTCCCAATAGTGCCATGCTGGGGACCAAGCATGGACCTTTAGGGGATACTTAAAATCTGAACTCCAGGAGCTGGGCATGGGGGCAATGCCTATAATCCCACAGGAGGATTGCTATAAGTTCAAGGCCAGCCTGGGCTACAGAATGAGTTCAAGGTCAGCCTGAACTATGTAGTGAGACTCTGCCACAAAAAACAAAACATTCTTTCCCACTAACTCATCTGAACCACTTGGTCACCAGTGGTGACAGCAACATTGTTCAGAACCAGAGTCCCACAGCCTTGTGACCAGGATGGCGTGCAGGCTACTGCTACCATCCTCGTGGGAGGGGGCAACCACCTCCACCTTCCGTCTAGTCTCTTCAGTTTGAAAACACAAATAGCAACACCCATATCCTCACCTTTTTTTTCCAGCGGTGCTGAGTATAGAACCCAAGGCCTCATGTACTCTCCCAATGAGCTATACCGCCAGCCCTCTTATTCCCAGTCTGTATTTCCTTTGCCAGATGGGAGAGGATGATTAGTAGCAAGTGGTCTCTTTTCTTTTTAGAAATAAAAAGGAGGCATATGTGTTATAAAGTCATTCCTACAAGTTTCATTTTATTACTGTTTGGTCAGTCAGTATGCCAAGAAGACTCAATGAAGGCCAGAGAATAAGGATGGGAAAACTAGCAGGAAATAAAGACCTGAAGAAACTGCCCAACAATAAAATGGTCCCATATTTATTTCTCTATTCACAATTTACACTCCCCCAGTTTTTATTGTACTGTGGACTGAATTCATAGCCCTTCCAATGAGCTACATTCTTAGCCCTTTTTGAGTCAGGGTTTCACTAAGTTGCCAAGTTGCCCAGGCTGGGCTAGAATTTGTGATACTTCTGCCTCAGCCTCCCAGAGGGCCGGGATTACAGGCATTACATTTGGCTACCGCCCCCCGTCCCCCCATACCGGGGATCTAACTTAGGACCTTGCACTTGAGAGGCAGGCTCCTCGGTGCCACTGAGCTAAATCCCCAGCCTACTCCACCAGTTTTAACAAAGGATTTGAAAAAACTAGATGCTCTAAGTAGAACTGTGTTTCTCTGGAGGCAAGGAGTAGCACTGATTTCTTGCTTTATAATTATTTTTCAATTACAATACAACTACTAAGAGTTTAAGTTCCCACTGGAGTGGGAGGAAACATTTCATTACTACTAGAAACCATAGGAATGTTCCAGGGAGACAAACTTGCATTGCTTAGTGAGATGGAATCTGGCCAAAACCTGGAGAACATACAGATGACTACAGACCAGCTAGAATCCCTTTATAGGACCTGCACTCTCCAGATACTAGTTGTCAGTCTTTTCTGGGAATTGGGAGCTCTTATTGGAGGGGAATTAACTACTTCAAGAAATATCCATCAAAACACGTGTGTGTCTCTTTCCAACTGCAATGTTTTCGGAGTCCTTCCTGGCCCTCTTACATAAGGGCTGGGACCTTTGGATAAATCCCATTTTTTTCTAATGACAGCTCAGTAGCAACAGGACCCCTTTAACTCATTGGTCATGGCTCCTTTCCTACGGGCCAGAATCCCTTTGGGACCCCATAGGGAAGGGTGGCCAGTCCAGTAAACAGGACCTCATCTCCTGGAGCTCCTGGACCTCGTCACTCTGAGGGCCACAGTGCACCAACAGGACCTCTTCTGCCTTCTGTATGGCATTCAGAGCTTCAGGGACAGCAAACCTGAGCCAAGGGAGGGAAGAAGGGTGAGATATTTCTTTTCTTTTCTTTTTTTTAAAGAAATAGATGTTTACTCTATGAGAAAATAGATATTCACAAGGAGCAGGAAGAGGCAGTATCTGGTAATGAGTACTGTGGGCCACCAGAGGCAATGTGGGGACCTGTGCAGCAAGCCACAGGATGAGGGAACCACACACAAAGTGTCTCCAATTCCAAAAGCAAATGGGATGTTTATCCAGGTGTAGATGTTACTAAGGACTAAGGATACTATATGAAAGGAAAAATTTAACAACCTTGGCTAGTTAGAAAGTTAAATTTTTGGATAATACAACATAACTGTGGGAAACTCCAGACTGGGATGTATCTGCCACAACATCGGAGACCACAACCATGGCTGCCAAAGGTCATTTATGATGCAACCATTATGGAGAGTCACAAACTGAGGGCAGGACACATGTCCCAGGAGAGGTTCAGCTGCAGAGAGGCACCAGAGACTGGGCCCAGAGGCACCAGGAACTCTCCACAGGCTCTGGAGCCCCTTCCCTGGAGCCATCTGCAGGGCAGCAGCACCAACCCGGGTGTCACTACAGCAAGGACGAGTCCGTGGGTTTTGGTCAAGGTGTCAAGGTGAGGGTTGTTGACAAGCCTTTTGTCCTCAGTGTGCTGACTGTGTAGCTGGAGATTGAGGAGGGAACCAGGAAAGAGCAAACAAGCTCTCAAGGCACAGGCTCTGCAGGCTCACGCTCATGGCCCACAGCATCGGGGTTGAGCTCCTTGTCCACACCAGCCCCAGAGCCCACCCTATTCCTCTGAGTCTCCCCAGAAATTAACAGGCATAAGCACCTTGGACCAGGACCCTGCCCCAGGGGCTGCCTTCTTCTGCAGCATGTCTCAGTGCCTCAGCTCACTCTCACAGAAGAGGAATAATCACATACTGGTGCCTAAATTGGAAAGGACCTACAAGGTCACTAGAAATGAAGCTCAGGTGCACCCTGGGATTACAACCTGCCAGGCAACTTGAGTGGACTCAGTGTGGGCCAACTCTAAGCCACTGATCATTCCTGTCCCTCCCAGTGCAGAAGAGCACTCAGAGGTCAGACAAGGGCCCTGCCACCACAGAACTGGGTTTGTGTCCCCCAGAAGTCTGCTCCCAGGGGGCAGAGTGTCCCTCCCCAACACCTCCTGCTCTCCTGCTCCTGTTTCTCCCTAGTGACAGTTTCTGCCTTCCTGCCTGACTGGGATAACGCTTCAGAGACAGAGGCCAGGGAGGGTCACAAAGTGCTCATTCAAGGGACACTCAATATCCAGTCCCTGGCAGAGGCTCTCTGCAAGTGAGGCCCAGACTCAGCCCTGCTGGCCAGTGCTCTTCCTGTAGGATGGAGCCCTGGGGGACAGTGCATGCTGGACAGAGGTTGGAGAGATGCTGCCCAGTCTGCTGTGGACACTGCATAGTCCTGCAAAGTTTCTGGCTTTGGTTAAACATTTTCCTGCAATGAGAACCCTGGTGCTTGGCTGCAGGGGTCTTAGGTTTCCCCTGGGATACATCTCAGGTGTCCAGAAGGTTTCGAGCATTGCGTGTTTTTCTTAACTGCCTCTCCAGACTGGCCTCACTGAAGTCAGGAGCTAGTGCTGGGGGCTCTTCAACAGCACCACTGACAGTGAGCAAGGACTGCTGCTCACTTGGGAAAAGTTGGCTTGGGAACCAGGGCCTGTGGTTGCTCCGCTGTGTTTGAAGGGCCTCCTTGCACTCTCACCCTGGTGCCAAGTCGACCCCAGGGTGACAGCCCTTCGGGCTGCAGGTCCTCAGCAGCCTCTCTGCTGCATTCTCTGCCCAAGGAGCTGCACACTGCCACTGTCCCCTCTGCTCCTCTCTTGAATGCAGGAACATGGGGTCTTTTCTATTGCTTTTGAGGTCCCTTCAAATGTGTGTTTCACCAGGGGCTTCTTGCTGGGGTGATCTGCTCTAGCAGCCTCAGTGGAGGGCCACCATGGGGCAGCCCCACCACTAAAGATTAAGAGAGTCAAAGCTCCCAATGGTGCTGCCAATGGCACCTCGGGGCAGGGTGTCTCCTATAGCAGCAGTGCTCAAGGGCACAGAAAAGGGCAGAGCATGTGTCTGATGGGACCATCCATGTGAGTCAGGCTGGTGTCTGAGATGACAGCTGGGGCAGAGGGGCACACGATGTAGCTGACTTCCAGGGTCAAGGCCCCAGCTAAGGACAGAAGTCAGAGAACAAACCACAGGACAATCACTGAAGCCAGCTGTCAAGTGATGAGTGGGAACTGGTGTCACCCAGTGGGCACTTGGATCCTCTTAGCTGGCCACAGAGCACTGCTACGCACTTGGGGTGTCCAGCTCCTTCCTAGCTTCAGAGGGCCGGGCTTGGGGACCCAGGGGGCAAAGTAGCCACAGGCTGAAGCCTTTAGAGGTGGTGGTGGAAGGGCCAAGGCAAAGCAGGAGGTGCTGGGCTCTCAACGGCAGCAGGTGCTACTCTTGCTGTTTCCTAGGGCTTGTGTCTGTGTGTGTCAGGTCCTGAGCCCCTAGCAGCATGGAGTATCTCAGAAAACAGCCATAGCTGCAAGGAGTCTGGAAGCTTCTGAGTTATTACTATGTTCTTGGTACAGAAAATTCTGAGCCAGCTCAGGTACTCACACGTCAGACAGGTAGATCTTCCTGGTGATGACAGATCTGGGCAGTCAGAGGCACACCTGGCATATTGCACATGGCCCCTGGGGCCTCCACGAATAAAGGAAGCCACAGTGCATCGGCACAAACTTGGAGCACCACAGGCCATTGCCTGTTCAGTGCCTCTTCTGAAGATGGAGCTTCAGCTGGCGGATGAGATGGGAACTGTAGGCAAAGGCTTTCCCACACTGCTTGCACTCGTAAGGGTCCTCACCCATGTGTTTTCTGGTATTTCAGGAGGTTGGAGCTGCAGTTATAAGGGCCTTCCCACACTCCTCCCATTTCAAGAGCTTCTCACCAGTGTGAATTTTCTGGTGTTTAGTGACATCAGAGCTGTGCCGAAAGGTCTTCTCACTCTTGCCACACTTAAAGGGCTTCTTTGCTGTGTGAACTCTGATGGTGAATGTGATCTGTCTCATGTTTAAAGATTCATCTGTATTCACTGCACTCATAGGGTTTCTTCCTCTGAAAAGGAACAAACACAGGGACCCCCTCAAAGTCATTTTTAAATGAGACATCAAAGGGATGGAAGAGATATGCCTCATCTTCAGGGCTCAAGGTCAGCTCTTTGCCATACACATCTCATTTGGTTTTTCCCCTCCAACGCTTTCTCTCCTTTGAGAGTGGCCTCTTGCATGTCTGCTTCTGCCTTTGGGGGCTGGGTCATCATTTTGCTGCCTGCAGGTTTTTCTATCATGGATCCTGGGAGGCAGGAAGCACCTTGGAAGCCAGGGAGAGCCGAGGGCTGGAAGTCAGGGGCTTCCTGACTCCCCTGTGACTCTATTTCTGCAGGGCTGGCTTGCCACATCCCCACAATGCCTGAAGTTCTGCTCCAGAAGATGGTACTTGTCCTCTTGCTGGGAAGACCGGGGGTCATGACTGCCTGCATAGCAAGGTGTAGACACCTGGACACAAACACCAAGTACTGAGTGTCACCAGGGGCAGACGGGCAGGAGAAGGCTGCTGGTTGGCACAGGCAGGAAGTGAGGAGGCAGTGTACTGAGTCAGCTGCACAAATGTTAACTAAAGGCTTACTCAGGCACTGTGAAGGCACAAAGGCACCTAAGATGGTTTCTGTCCTCCCAGAGCTTACACTTTCCTAAACACTTCAAGACAGAATTTGAGGACAAAATTATGAAAATAAAAAGCAACTGGAGGGTCTCCAAGTGCGCTTGCGGCGAGGCAGAAGAGGGAGGTCGGCACCATGTCGAGGCAAGTGAACCATGGCACTGAGAGCAAGAAAATGAGCTCTGAACTCTTCACCCTGACCTATGGAGCTCTTGTCACCCAGCTATGCAAAGAGTATGAAAATGATGAAGATGTGAAAAAACAGCTGGACAAAATGGGCTATAACATAGGAGTCTGACTGATTGAAGATTTCTTGGCACGGTCAAATGTTGGGAGATGCCATGACTTTAGGGAAACTGGAGATGTTGTCACCAAGGTGGCGTTCAAGATGTACTTGGGCATTACTCCAAGCATTAGTAACTGGAGCCCAGCTGGTGACGAATCCTCCCTCATTTTGGAAAATAACCCCTTGGTGGACTTTGTGGAACTTCCCGATAACCACTCATCCCTTATTTATTCCAATGTCTTGTGTGAGGTATTGCAAGGAGCCTTGGAGATGATCCAGATGGCAGTGGAGGCCAAGTTTGTCCAGGTCACCCCAAAAGGAAACGGTATAACAGAAATTCGGATGAGGTACGTCAGGAGGATTGAAGACAATCTCCCAGCTGGAGAAGAATGACTGTCTCAGGACTCCAGAGTAGCCAGCAAAAGCACTTGTTGGAGTCAGAAAGGCTCAGTGCCCTCTGCCTCTAGAACTCAGTGACTCTAACATGGATGCTATATATTCTAACCTTGTTTCCATTTTCCATGCTAATAAAGAGCAGACTGATACAGTCCATTGTCCCTACAAGTATGCACATTCAGAAGGGGAATTCTTTGTTCTTTTTCCCTTAAAATGGGCTGGATGTAATCATCCTTGGTTGGACTAGAAAGAGCTCAAAGCATTTTACATTCCTGTGTAACTTTTCCAAAGCATACCTACTTTGACCCTGTTAAGAGACAAGCCTGACCTGAGCATGGTGGCTCATGCCTGTAATCTCAGTACTGTGGGAGGCTGAGGCAGGAGGATTACAAGTTTGAGTCCAGTCTGGGCAGTTTACCAGTTTAATGAGACCCTGCCTCAAAATGATAAATAAAAAGGGCTGTGGATATAACTCTGTGAAGGCTCTGGTTTCAATCCCCTGTACTGAGAAAGAGTGACAAGCCTGGCACATTCACTCCTGAGCCTTCATAAAGTTCTTGGCAAATGGCTGTAGGGAATCTGGGGCTTGGGGTTGAATGGCTGGGAGAGGACGGGTAGGAATTACTAGCTTTAGTGTGATACTCTGTAGAGTTTGGCAGGACATGGGAGCCAGTCATGTTGGAAACACTGGTTTCTAGGAAGCCACCCAGGTCTCATTCCTCCCTGCTGTTTGGAGGCAATATCTCCTCTTTTTACAGAGGGTTCATCCTTTTTTCTTACGAATTCTTCAATAAAGACACATTCTTTAGTGGAATCCCCCCAAATAAAAATAAATAAAAAGTAAAAAGACTCCAGGATCTTGAAAAAACAGGCAAATTTTAAAGCTCTGATCTGACATTTATGAAACTTTGTACCCTTTCTTCTCTCTCTGACCAAATGTCCCACTCACTATTCACAATCTTAGGGTTAACTTTCTCATATCAATGTACACCAATGACAGTTTTAACAAGCTGAAGTATTACATTCAGAAATACTGAAATTAGAATCCCTCAAATGATCAACAGTGAAAATATAGGTCAGCCATCAGCTCACCAACCTACTATTCTTTCCTTTATTTATTTTCATTTTTTTGAGTGATGATGGGGACTGAACTCAGGGTCTCATGCATGCTAGGCAAGCCCCCAGCTTCTAACTTTTTTTTTTTCTGGTACCAGGGATTGAACTCAGGACCTTGTGCTTGTGAGGCGGGCAAAGGTGCCACTGAGCTAAATCCCTGGCCCTCTAACTTTTTTAAATGGTATTTTGAGTCAGGGTCTCACTTTATAGTTCAGGCTGGCCTTGAACTCATGGAGATCCTCCTGCCTCAGCCAGGATTACAGGCAAGTGCTGGGATCACAAGCATGTGCCACCACACCTAGCGAGCTTCTAACCTTTAAGGCAGGGTTTTTCAACTTTAACACAACTGATATCTTGGGCCAGATACGGTACTGCCTATTTTAGGTGGTTTAGCAGCACCTCTGGATGCTAGTGGAACCCTTCCCCTCAGTTGCGGCAATCAAAAATATGTCCAGACAGTGCCAAATGTCATCTGGGGATAAAAATCATTCCTGGCTGAAAACAACTGCTTTAAAGGGAATAGGCTGCAGGGGCCAGGGATTTAGCTCAGTGGTTTCGCCACCTGGTGCGCAAGCGCAAGGACCCGAGTTCGATCCCCGGTACCAAAAAAATAAATAAATAAAGGGAATAGGCTGCAAACTAGGGAATAGGTAGAGACCCTAGAGTTGAGGGTGTTAGGAATGAGAGAGCCATGGGAGGTGTGATTAACCAGAGAGGAACGAGAAAGAATGCTGTGCTGGTTGGTGGGTGGAGCTGCCTGGCAAGTCTTCCCTGGGAAACTCACTTAGGATCTAAGAGCTTTCCCCATAACTCTCAGAAGAAAATTCTAAAGCTTTAAATTTGTCAGCAAAAACAAAAGGCAAGGATCTCTCCTAAAGAGGAAATAAAAAAGTTTCAACACGCTTAAAAGCACCACAGAAAAAGTCATACACTGAAGTGCCTAGTAAAGAACAGAACAGTACGTGCCCTGGCAGAGCACTCGGATAAAGCAAAGTCTTACCCATTGAACAGGACTTGGGCTAGTTTGAAGAGCTCATGGCCCATTTCAACACTGGATGGCCCATGGCGAGCCTCAACCACTTGGAGACTCTTCTGTAGGTGGGTAGCTGACTTTTGCCAATCCCCTGTTAGGAAAGAAAAACCTTATTCCAGAAAAGAACTGTAGTCACTTTTTGGTACTGGGGATCGAACTCAGGCCCTTGCACTTGCGCAGCAGGTGGCAAAACCACTGAGCTAAATCCCCGGCCCCCATAGTCACTTCTGGATGAATTCTCAGGGTGACCAAAGGTGACTGGAAGGGACAGTAGCTTCAATTTAAAGCGAGAGAAAAACTAACCAGAACAGGCAAAGGTACCCACAAAACACACAAGGCAGGAAATGAAGCATGTGCCATACCTAGGGCAGCATAGGCACGGGCCAGGTTGTCCTCAATTTCCCCTGCCACAGCATGCTCTGCTGCCAGGAAGCTCTCAGCATCTTGCCGGCACCTCAACAACCTTGGAATGGCTTGGTCTATTGGTTCCAAGGAGAAATGCCTCAGTATAGACACAAATCCAGTCCTGGAAATAAGAACCCACATCCCACATTCTGGGTTGATGCAAAAATTCCCCCCGCATGTCCCTGATAGTCATTATCCCACACTGTTCCAACAACATTTTTCTCTCATGTATTTTTTCAGTAGGAAAAGGTGCTAGGTGAGGCAGCCCCACACTCACCCTAGGTTTCCAACATCCACTTTCCAACACAACCAACTCTACAGTTCACTTACAGTCATTATTTCTCTTGACTTTGAAATCTAAGCTGAAGTTTAACTTTCATAAAGTAGAGCAAGTAAATTCCCACAGTGTCAAATTCTAATTTCCAGGGGTGATAAAGAGTGTCATAATTTTTTCTTTCTTTTTTTGGGAGACAGGGTCTCACTTTGTAGCCCAGGCTGGCCTCAAACTCACAGTGATCCTCCTGCCTCAGCCTCTCGAGTGCTGGGATTATAGGCGTGTGCCACTAGGTCTGGAAATTCCTTTTTTGAAAAGAAACTTACTTTTTTTTTTTGTGGTGCTGGGGATTGAAACTAGGGTCTCATGCTAGCCAAGTGGCTACCACTGAACTACATTCCCAGCCCAAGAGTAGAATTCTTAACTCCATTGTTCTACAGGAAAAAACTGGCTTTGATTAGGGGAGAACAACCTTCCTAGGAAATTAGATCATTAGGCCCTGGAGTTAAAATAAATGATACCGAACTTCTAGAGTTGCACAGAGCTCATGGAAGTTGGAGACGACTCTTTAGTCACTAAGAATACTATAACTTAGCTACCTGATGCCTAAGACAACAACTTAACTCATTTGGCATTTTTTTCATGGATACCAGACTGAATGGTAAGATTTACTCTACTGGCTTCTATAGCCATCTTGTGGCTGGTACGGGGATAATAAATTCAATTCTTCAATCACTGAATAACCTTTTTTTTTTTTTTTTACAGTGCTGGCAGTCAAACCCAAGATCTCACACATACTAGGCAAGTGCTCTACCACTAAACTACACCCCCACCCCCTAACTATTCTCGAGTGGAAAGTGATGCCGGAATATAAAAAGGGAAGGGGCCAGTAGACCAAAGCAGGGAGCCAGTCTCACCGAGTTTGCCATTTCTGAGAAGCTTCGAAGCTATCCCAACCTGCTGCTGAAGGTCCTGCAACTGAGAGACCAGGTGGTTCCTGCTGATGGGTTCCAGACAAGCTCTGTTCCCACAGCTCAGGACGTCATCTCCCTGTGGAGGAAGTCAGTTCCATCTTTATTTCTATACCAGAGTTGGTTATTAATGCTGGCCATATTTATATTATAGGGTCACTGACCCGATAGGGGAAAGAGACTCTTGCAATAATATATCATAACCAAAGCCTGGCTGAATTTGGTCTGATAGCAACAATTGTAATGAAAGTAGTAGCTGATTCCATCCCAAGATTCAATTTTTGGAAAAGAACTGCTAAAGTTCACAGTTCTTCATCTCAACAGCTCCTCTCTTCTCTCTCTTTGGGGCCAGGCCTTGGAAGACAGGCACATTTTTAGGGGTTATAAAAAAGCCATAAGAAAACCAACATAAAAAGGTGCTAAGTGAGGCCCCCTCACATTTGACCTTGGGTCTGCTACTTCAGCTTTCCAACACAACCAACTCTTCAGTCTTCTTATGGTTCCCCTATGGAAAACACTGTATGCCCTTGTAGAGGAGAAAACTTCTGAGGTGGCCATTTGCTTTGTTGTTGAAGATGTCAGTATCTATGCCATCATTTGGCAACAGCTCAATTTCTTGAGGACCCTCACTCTTCTACTGTCAGTGCTCTGTAGCTGAGAGTGTGGATATGCAGTTCAGATGTGGCCTGTTCCTCTGGTCCAACTGGCTAGGATAAAATTCTGATTTTCCTCCAGCCACAGTCACTGGGTGGATGCCACACCATAAGATCTCTGCCCAGAAATGTTGTTGGAGTGGCACATGTTTTCAACCTTCTGGGCAGGGAAGACAAGGAAGCTGAGATGCTGGCAACCATCTTGCCACCATGAGAGGGAAGTCTGCATGAAGATGGGGCTAGCACAGAAGTAATGGAGTTGAGAGGTGGACGGGAAAGTGGGGTCCTGGTGACATTATCTGAGTCTCCAAGCTGTGTCTGTAAGGGCTCTGACATGGAACTTATCAATTACTTAAGCAAAAAAACTCCCAGTCCTTTTCCTCCCTTAAGTCAGTTCAGGTGGGATTTTCTGTCATTTGAAAGAGAAACATCACTAAATCCAATCCTTTCCTATGATTTCTTTGAGGGACAACCAATGTGTGGAGATGATTTGTTCAAATGGAAACGACATTACTGTTCTCAGTACCTACAAGCCCCTGGTGGTGGCTTCTCCCAAAGCCTTTGGGCTGGATAACTGACCTCCAGAAACAGTAGAGAAGGGAGAGGAGAGATTTACCTGCATGAGTGCTCTGCAATTATTACAACGGAATGCTTCCCACCTGGGCCCTGCAGCTGTTCTGAGCTTCTCATAATGACAAGCTGGACAGTTGCAGTCAAAGAAGTACTGAGACCTCAGCTTCTGTTGCCTTTCAGCGATACTCATCCAGCTCTTGTGAGGCCCTGGAGAGAGATCACCCTCAGCTAATACTGAAAGCAAGAAACAGTCAAACACTACTTAAGAGGCCTCAACTCAACAGAGGGTCTGGACGATTATTCATCATGACAGATAACCTTTACTTAAACATTTGTGGAACTGGATACTGAAATAAGCTTCCAAGTTGCTGGGACAGGAAAATAAAGAAGCTGAGATGTTGCTCCTAGCCCATTTTCAGAACAGGAAGTTTATAGAGATTAAGCAAGGACAGACATGATAGCTTAGCCACAATAGAGCTTCTTAGGTAGTGGTTATTACATTCGCCTCACACATAGGGCTTCTTACTATGGTAAGATCTTTCATTTTTTTGGCCTAGCGATGCACTGTCTTTTCCCTGTAACAAACACCAGACAGGTGAAGGCTCAGGGACTTGCTCTTCCCTATCCACTATGTCCTTTGGCTGGAAAAGAGTGGGACGGGGAGAGGAGGGCTGGCTCACCATAGCAATGGAGAATCTCCTGCCCTTTTCCAATCTGCTGGGCTGCCCGAATGGTGGCGACAGTGCCAGCAAAGGATATGCTGGTGTTGGGGCTGCAGGAGTGGTTCAGGAGGCTCACAACAGGGAAGATGCCTGTAGCAAGACGTACCTGCCCGCTGTCAGTAACAATGTTCTCTTTAGATCCTGAAAGTGCAACAGGCAAAAGGAAAGATGTCAGGACATTAGTCCTGGCTTCGTTGTCCATTTGTCAGAAGTTAAGCTGGGCAGCTGGGCCTGAAGCCCATCTGAGTCATGGCTCCACAGCCGGATCCAGTATAAATCAGATGGAACATGACTCACAGCAAACTCTGGTCCCTAGGAAGCAAAGTGAATGAACACAAGAAAAGTCCACTGGGATCCTGGAACCTAGGCATTGTGTCTTGACACCACACACACAAAAGCTCCCAAGATTAGAATTTATAAAAAATAATTAAAAGGGGATTATCAGTAGGGAGCTTTCCTGACAGTTTCATAATGTTCATGAGGACAGAGAAACCAGAATAGCTGTTGAGATTATTTTCCAAAGACTTTTATATTCCTAATGCTTTTATTTAACTGGTCTTTGGGTGGTTAATAGAACAACCGACCTAGTTATTATACCAAACTTTATATATTTAAGCAGGCTTAAGTGTATATTAAAAAATCAATACTCTTTATGCTTACTTCTTCATTTTGCCCTTTGTTCCACCTTTCTGGAAAACCAGTAAGTAGTTCTCACGGAAGTAAATTCTCTATATTAACTTTACTCAAGACAATCTCCTAGTTCTCAAAATCTCTTTGTAGTACAATTGACCAGGAACTTAACTACATGACTGAACCTCAGAAAAAGGAAAGAAAAAGGCCTCCAGGCAGTGAGGCAAGCCTGCACCAAAGCTCATGTACTTATGTTTATATGTGAATTCTTTGTACTCATGTGTAGGTCTGCGTGGTTAGATTTCCATTGCTGTGACAAAATACCTGAGAAAATCAACTTAAAAAGAGAAAAGTTTTACTTTGGCTCATGGCTCCAGAGATGTCAGTCCATGGCTGTTTGGTTTTGTCACTTTAGGCCTGTGATGGTGCAGCATGGAGAGTGTAGCAGAGGAGGCTTCACTTCATGGTGGCTGAGAAGCAAAAAGAGAGAGGGAGGAGCTGCAATCCCATCTCCTTCAAGGGTCCCTAACTTCCTTCCACTAGGCCCTATACATCCTAAAGGTTCCACCACCTCCCAGTAATGCCACAGGCTGGTGACCAAGCCTTTAGCATTTAGGCCTGTGGAGGACATTCAAAAATCCAACCATAACAACCTATTTGCTCTTAATTTACACACAGTGCTGATTTGCTTAAGCAGGTCCTCAGGCCACAAACGTCCAGAAGCAGAGAACCAATATGGGGAGAATCTAAGAAGCAGGTTTTTCTAACAATGGCAAAAGACAAGTGACACACTGGAGGGAGAGGCAAAGTCTTAAAACTAATGGCCTTACAGCAAACAAAACACTAACACCACTCAGCATTTTACCATTCTGGCAACATTTCACCTAACCAGAAGGTCCTAGATGGACAGCATTCCCACATGAGCTTTTGTAAGAGCCAGACATATCCCAGGAGCATGTAGGGTATAGATAATCCCCCAACTCTTCAATGTGCAGTAGCCTTGGTTTAAACATGAGGAAAATCATGTTTTCAACAGACTCGCTGAAATATGAAAGATATTAATACTTAAAGGGAAATATTCAGTTTTCTAGAAAGCTGGAAACCATCAGATAATTATGGAATCACTGTACATATGCCAGGAATCTTAACAGACTATTTACCAAAGAAATAAGTAGTCTAGATACAAATGTAATGAATAAAGAAAATATCATGAACCATCACGTGAAAATGTCCTATAAAGGAAAACATTAAATACAGGAATTATATTGTTTCTCTGTAGATAATTCTATTATCTGTTGCTATGGGGGACAAGAATAGAACAAGTAAATATGATTCACAAGGAATCCAAATGAATCAATTTTAGTCAATAATTCCATAAAGTGTATTAAAACCTTTCATCAGTGCTTCTCCTAAGTGCTTTACTGATTTTAGTCTCCTTTCCTCCCCCTCCCCCTTTGTCCAATGTCTACCTTCTGGAATATGTGCTAATGAGCAGAGAAAATGCTAAAAGGTAGGCAGGCGGAAGGAGCTGTACAAGGCATGAACAATTTGTAGTCTGAATAATCAGCCTCTGCATAATTAAAAGTTGACTTGCATTCCCAACTACTGATAACTGGCAATCTATATTAGAACAGTTGCTAAAATTTTCTCAGAAAAAATGATTGCAATACAGTGAGTAATGTCAGCTTTGTGAATTATTTATAGACTATCCTCTAAGAGAAGCAGGCCCAGGAACTGAGTGGGGTATTTGTGTCAGAGTTGAATGTCTAATTACTTCTAAAAAATTAAGTATTGATTTTTAAAAATTACTCGATATTTTGCATTATTCATGTATTAGCAGAGATAATAGAAAGCAAGAATATGTATGTACCTTATCTACCAAATTTAATATATGACATTTTATATTTAAAAAAGGGAGGGGGGGAAAGACAGGAATCTTTACCAAAATGTATCTCATTAATCTCTCTAGTGCAAAGCAAGCAAACTGGGTGTGGTGGCACACACCTGTAATCCCAGCACTTGGGAGGCTGAGGCAGAAGGATTGCCTCCAGATTGAGGCCAGCCTTGGCTACATACAGAGTTCAATACATAATGAGACTTTGTCTCAAAAAAAAAAAAAAAACCTCATTCACAATATTTCCAGAATATATCTTCTCTGATATGTATTTTGCAAAATGAGACTCTTGTGTGTTAAGTTGGAACATTGATGAGTGAAAACAAAGAGCGGTGAATTGATCTGAAGCTACATGGAGACTTATTAAAGACTGTTATGACATGAATCCAGATATAATCCAGATGTGCTGTTCCCACTGAGACATAACCATACACACCTGTCCAGGTGTACAATGTTATCAGTGGCTGGTTCTGTCGCTTGAGATGGGCACCAAATAAGAGTTCTTGAGAATTTTGATTAAAAAGGATTTATGCAAAGATAATAACACATTTTTATAGGTTTTTGTCAAAGTCTATCCTAGTTAACACTTTAATCCTTCTCCTGTGCCACTAATGAAACAGCTGCTAATGAAATTCAATGAGAACACTAAACTGGGAGGTGTTGGAACCCCAAAGAAATAATAAAAAGGGATATAACAAGATTAGAAATATGAGCAGACTAAAACAAAATTAGACCGAGTTAAAAGAATGAAAGTGAACATTGCTGGTGGGCATGTAGCTGGTACAACTTACCTGGAGGGCAATTTTATAATATGTATCAAGTGTCTTAAAAATGTTCATATGAAAAAACGTTCTTAGCATTTGGATTATTTTTGTCATTAAAAAGCTAAAATTACAAAAGGAAAACACTATAGCCATAAACAATTAAAACACTGAAAAGTACAGAAAAGTACAATGACAGTCATCTGTAAGTATTATGTATACTGTTTTGGTGTATTCTCTCCAGGGTTATGTATGGAATCCACCCCCTCTATCACTCCACCCCTGTACTGGGGAATGAGCCCAGGGCCTCTTTCATGCTTGGCAAATGCTTTATCAATGAGCCCCAGCCCTTTTAATTTTTAATTAATTTATTTATGCAGTGCTGGAGATCAAACCCAAGGCCTTGCCAATGTTAGACAAGCACTTGACCACTGAGGTATATCTCCAGTCCCCCTTTAATTCTGAGACAGGATCTTGATAAATTGCCCAGGTTGGCCTTAAACTTGGGATCCTCCTCAGTAGCTAACTGAGATTATAGGCATTTGCCACCATGCCTGGTTATATAGGGAATTTTTTTTTTTTTTGGTACTGGGGATCGAACTTGGGTCTTTGCGCTTGCACAGCAGGCGGCGAAACCACTGAGCTAAATCCCTGGCCCCTATATAGGGAATTTTTAACATACTTGGCAACACCATACACACAATGATCTGTAAGTTACTTCTTTTCACATAATATGTCAGTTATTGTTTTACCTCAATTTAAACCCTATGGGGTTGGGGATGTAGTTCAGTGTTAATAGTACTTGCCTAGCATGATCAAGGACCTACCTTTAATTTAAGCACCACAAAATGAAGAAAATGCATATTATAATTTAAAAATAAATCAGCCAGGCAAGGTGGTCCAGGCCTGTAATCCCAGCACTCTGGGAGACTGAAACACGAGAATTGCAAATTCAAGCCCAACAAAACAATTCTTCCAATGTTATAGGCAAAAAATGGCATGTTTCAATTCCTAGAATGTTAGAAACTGACCATTTTTATTACCATATTATTACTCTTTCTTTATGGTACCAAGAATTGAGCTGTGGGCTTTTGCACTGAACTACATCCCTCCTTTTTGAGATAGGTTTTCATTAAGTCACTAAATTGTTTAGGCTGGGGTTCAAACTTGAATCCTTCTGCCTCAGCTTCCCAGAGTAGGACCCAGCCTATTTTTTACTACTAGAGTTCTTTGATAAAGTGCTTGCTCATGTGCATTTTTAAAAGCTTTATTGAGATATAATCTATCTACTATATATAATTCAATGATTTTGGAAGGGGAGATTTACATAACTGTGTAATCATTACTACAATCCAGTTTTAGAACATTTCATCATGTGCATATTTTACAAAGCTCATTTTAAGAGTTGTATAGTTGCTTAGAGATGTTTCTTCATTTTGTCATTCACATCTTAATTTTTGTTTATGGGTCTTTTTTGGCAGGGAGAGATATTAAAACAACAATTTCATTTGTTCACAATTCTGTGTGCCAGCAGTTTTGGCTGAGCTTAGTTGAATGGTCCCCCTACCCCTGCTGGTTTTGCCCAGAGATTAATCATGTGACTGCATTCATCTGGCACCTGGTCTTTTATCCTTAGGAAGGCTGACCCAGGACTGTTCACATGGCCATTCCATTCTTCCAAAAAGGTGACAATGGAAGCTACAAGGATTCTTAGGGATTAGACTCAAAAGTTACATGTCACTTGTGCTGCCTTCCATTGGTCAAAGCAAGTCACAAGCCAACTCAGATTCAAGATGAGGGGAAAGGAACTCATCTTGAGAGAAAAAGAAACTCTCATGTTCATCTTTGCAAGTAGTCTTCCCTTGAGGCTCACTCAGGGTTTCAGTCCTCTCATCTTATGGATGCCACGCAAAGGTTCTGATCAGGTCTTCTGCCTCCAGGTTCTTTTTTTTTCCAATTCCTACAAGGAGCTCTTTCACCTGCATTCTTTCCTTTTTTGCCCATTACAGTGTTCTTCTTTTAAGTGGTGGGGATTGAATCCTGCATGCACAGCACATGTCCTATCAGTGAGCTACCTTCCCAGATTCCTATTATTACTATTATTTTCTATTTGTGGTACTGGGGATTGAACCCAGGACCTTTGTACTCAGTTACATCCCCAGTGCTTTTTAAAAATTATTATTATTATTATTATTGTGGGGTTTTTTGAGACAGGGTCATGCTTCGTAGTCCAGGCTGGCCTCAAACTTGTGAGGATTCTCCTATATATCGGTGTCTCAAATGGTGGGATCACAGGTGTGTGAGCCCCATGCCTGGTGATTTTTAATTAAAAAAATGTTTTTTTGAGACAAGGTCTTGCTAACTGGGATCTTCAGCTTGGCATGAGATCCCAGCACTTGGGAGGCTGAAGCAGGAGGACTGCCATGAGTTCGAGGCCAGCCTGAGCTACATAGTGAGTTCAAGTCCAGCCTGAACTACATAGCAAGACCCTGCCTCAAATAACAAAACAAACAAAAAATCAAACTTGGGATCTTTTTGTTTCAGCTTCCCAGGGTGCTGTATTACAGCTGTATGGACACCACACCTGACTCTATCATGGTGTTTTTGATATAGATTTGGTGTTTAGAAAGTTAAAACTAGCTATTTTTTACACTTGATCTTAGCCAAAAGGCCGAGAAGCGATAAAACTAGCTATTTTTTAATTGCCCAAATTTGATGTTATATACTTTTAGAAGCTTGTCCCATCCTAAGATTGCATAAATGTTCACTTATCTTTTTCAAGATGTTACATAGCTTCATCTTCATTTTTAAGCTTTAAAACCTATGTTTTTTTATGCTTACATAATGGTATCATACTCTTGAATACTTCAAGGTTTTTTCTTCTCACTTAGATCTAGTATATTTTTCCTTATAGAAAAAGCTGCCATGTTCTTTTTGGCATACACAGTGCCTGTTTGTTGCTCTCCCAATCATCCAGGAGCTGGCCTGTTCCCAGGGTGCCTGTGACAAGCAGGATCCCAGGCTTCCCCTGAGACTGGGAGAGGGGCCCAGAGGTGGGCAGGGTACCCAGGGAAAGGACCTGTGGCATTTAGTATGGATCCTTTCAAACAGCCTTACTGGTTTATTGCAAAGCATACAACAAAGGGTAGAGGTAGAGATGCATAGGGCGTGTGGGAAGCCCCCATGCCCTCTGGGTGTGCCACCCACCAGGAACCCTCAAAGGGTCAGCTATGCAGAAGTTCCTCATCCCCCCCCCCCGCCCCGTAATGGGAATTAAACCATGGAGCACTGAGCCACATCCCCAGCCCTTTTTATTTTTTCATTTGAATCAGTGTCTTTCATTTGAATCAGCTAAATTGCCCAGCCTGGCCTCAAACTTGCAATCCTCCTGCCTCAGCCTCCCCAGGAGCTGGAATTATAGGTGTCCACAACCACAGCTGGACACCCTCTAATTTTTAACTTTTTTTTTTTTGCATGTGCAGTAATGAGGATTTAACCTAGAGCTTTCACACTGAGTTACATTTTCAGCCCTTTTAAAATTTTGAGAAAGGGTCTTACCAAATCACTAAGTCACTTAGGCTAGCCTCAAACTTGATACCAGGGTTCTGGGATCTCAGGCATGTGCCACCCATGTCCAGCACAACTGTCTTTTCATGGAAATATTTTAATAACTTGATTCTTCCACAATTACTGTTTTTTTTAAAGTGTTTTTTTCCTTCTCAATATATATCTCCTAAAAATTGTCTACTTAGTATTTCCAAATTTGATAGTCTAAAACTGTGTTACTATTTTTTAAAGGAGACAGAATCTTGCTAAATTGCCAGGCTGGCCCTAAACTCCTTGGTCCAAGCAATCTTCTTGCCTCAAATAGCTGGGACTACAGGCTTGCACAACAGTGTCTGGCATCACATTTTTTTTAAATTTAAAAATAAATTTAGTGGGTGTGGAGGCGCAGGCCTGTAATCCTAGCATTTAGGGGGCTGAGGGAGGAGATTCACAAGTTTGAGGCCAGGCTGGGCTATATATCGAGTTCACAGCCAGTGTGGACACTGTCTAAAAAACACACACAAATAAAAACCCAAAAGAGATAAAAAGAAAACAGAACTTACACAACATCTCCTTTGTTGTTCCTAATTATGTGGGTCCCCTGCCTCAAACAGATTTCCTAGATTTGCCCAATCTTTGTCTACATCAGAATCTGTAAACTGCAGCCTGTGGGCCAAATCTTGTCTGCTGCCTGTTTCTGTACGGCCTATGATCTAAGAATGGTTTTTACATTTTTAAATGGTTAAAAAACCCCAAAGAATAATTCTCCTGACATGCGAAAAATTATGAACATTTACATTTCAGTGTCTACAATAAACTTCTGCAGAAACCCAGCCATGCCCACTTGTCTGCATATTGTCTGATAGTTCTCACGCTACAAAGCAGAGCTGAACAATGCCACAGTGACCACACCGTTTGCAAACCCTAAAATATTTACTACTGAACCCTCATAGAAAAAGTTTGTGACTGATCTGTGGGATATGAGCTTTGTCAGACTAGTTATACTGTCAGACCAGTATAATAAACTAGGTTTATTATGTTATCTTGGTTTCTAGGCTCTTAATATAGATGATCAAAGTCAGAATGGTATATTAAATTTCCTCACAACAATGGGGTTTTTGCCAAGCTTCTCCTATACACTTAACCATTTTTGTTTTATAGATACAATCTCTGTTTCTGAGAGCGGAGGCTGATGATATATTTCAGTGTGGAGAGTCTCCTTTATAAAAATGAAATGGTTTCTTTGTTTTATTTGGTAGCTTAGCCTGAGTTCTACAGTTTCATATTAATACCAGTATCTTGATTTGTTTGTGATTCCTGATGTAACTTGCCAAACTCTTTGCATTATTTTATTATAGGAGTCACTGGCAAATGGAATATAGTTAGATTTTAATTTTTTGGAGCTGGGCATGGAGGCATATGTCTGTAATCCCAGCCCTTAGGAGGCTGAGGCAGGAGGATTGTGAGTTCAAGGTTATCCTGGGCTACATAGTGAGTTCAAGGCTATCCTGGGCTACATCCTGGACTGGTTAGTGAAACCTCTCACAGTAAAGTAAAATAAAATAAATTTTTTGATCCATTCTGAAAGACTCCTTTAATAGGAGAGTTTAACCCATTTATATTTACTATTGTAGACTCATTTTATTATCTTTTGGTCTATAAGCTATTTTTTTCCCCCTAGAATGATGGGAAAGGTATATAACTCATTTTAAAATTTACTGGTATATTGTTACTCTTGTGTAAATAATGTTCTTAATTTTAAAAATATAGACAACTCTAAAAAAGAAAGTAGGAATCACTCCTATTTCTACTCACATTAATCACTGTTAAGGTTTTTGATATTTTTAGTCCTACGGGTAGCACTGGCTAAAAGAAGTAAAAAAAGGTAAAGGAGAAAACAGAAACTAAATGCAAATGTGATTTAGTAACACAAGACCAGGCTGGTGCTATTTCTGGATGTTCCATGTGCTTCAGGATAGGGAAGAGAGTCTTATGTCCAAAAATACCTCTAGTGAGATAGATTCCTATACATCTATATGCCACTTCATTAAAACTAAACATAAAGATACAGACATAAAGGCTTGTTAAGTTCTATATTACCCAGTGGGAAAGATCAGAAGAGTTAAGCATGTATGGTTTAGTTAAACACCATTATTATTCTGTCTATGAATCCTAGGTTTCGCTAACACCTGGTTTCCTCTTTTCAAGAGCCAATAGATTAGTTAAGAAAAATGCTAGTATAAGATATTTTCTGCTGAAATGGAGATCATACACTAGAAATACTGGAAACACCATTTCTTTTTTCTTTTTTTCTTTCTCTTGAAGACAGGGTCTCACTATGTAGTTTAGGCTGGCCTTGAACTTGTGGCAATCTTCCTGCCTCAGCCTCCTAAGTGCTGGGATTACAGGTGTATACCACCACACCTGGCTCCCTAGTTTAAACAGTCTTATTATAGAATCCAGTTCAGAAACAGCGCTAGACTGTCTGGTCTGTGTCTAGAGGTGGCCCTCTGATGGCTGGTCAGACCAAAGGATAGGCTATATGTAGAACAGCCAAGAGCTCATGGTGTAGTTCAGTGTGAAAAGCTGTACTGGGCTGAGTCTTCTCTAGGAAATTTAGAAGAACGGGGAAAAAATTGTTGATTGGAAAGAGAACAGACAGTGAGTAGCCGAGTTAAGCATTTGATATCTTATTCAACTATAGAACCTATTCTTTCTGCAGTCTGTTTTGACTATTTCTCCCCTTTCTGAGGAAAAAAAAGCTATTTAGCTTTCTCTGGATTCTTGAGAATGTATGTCCTTCTGACAAATTTGCTATTATTTCTACAGCTTAATTTATTTGAGATAGTTTTCCTTCATAATAAAAAAATCGGTTATTTTAACTTTTTAAATAATCTTTTACCAACACACAAAATTCTGTAAAGTTAGGTAAAATGAAATTGTGCATGTTACAGATGAGAAAACTGAGGAAGAATAAGTTAAAATAATCTGTTAAGGTCACACAGCTTCTCAATGGCATAATGGTTATAATGCAAGATAGGTGTTTCCTCACTAGATCACCAATTTGTTCGAGTGCTACTGTTTTCCATTTCAGTTCTTCCTTCCCAAACATCAGCCACACCAAGAATATTGTAAGGCAGAAACATAGGTCTCCCTCTTACCTGTGTGCTGTATGGTAGTTATTGCCTGAGCATTACACTGCAGTTGTAACAAGTGTCGCAGCATGGCCACTGCCCAAATGTTCAAATCCGCACACAACTCAGGAGTCACTGCTGCTTTCAGACCTGTGGTGAGGGCAGGCAGGCTGGCTGCTTCAAGCTGCCTACACAGTGCAGAGATGCTGAGAGCACAGAGAAATTTATGCTCTGGGCTATGGTTTTCAGTATGGGGTAAAAGACTGAAGACAGCATTATAATTATTTTCATACTTTCCATTAATATTACATCCAGGAATTTGAGTCTCAACTGTTTTGCCAATTTCTTCTCTTTCCCCCTGGTTGTAGTTGAATGTCTTGACCAGAGTCTTGCTTTCAGGTAAACATATCTCCTTGTTGTTAATCTCATCACAAATCCTCCTTACAACTTTGTCCACATCTTTGAATCTAGCCAAGAGAGTCAACCTCAGGGCAACGTGGCAAAACATACCCAGCGTGAGCAATAGCCCCCCTAAAGAACACTCTATGCTATGATACAGCTCCCAGGCCTGCTGCATACACTCCTGGCTGCAATAGTTGGCATAGCTACATCCATGGCAGGGAACCATGGCCAAAGTATGCTTCAAACATTTGTGACAGTAGAGGTCCCCATTGGTAACTCTGGTATCCCACCTGCTCTCTAAGCCTTGATGCAGTGGTGGCATTTCTCCTGGGTTGAGGACACTCACAAAAGCATCCTCCTTCACTAGAATCTCTCCTGGGAGAATGTCTTTTATGGCAACCAAATAGCGGCCTTTTAAAGGGTCTGTGCATAAGCGGACAGATGATGATGCATTGGAAATTTGCTCATTCTCTTCGGTTAGGTTCATACCCTCAAAGTCTTTGGCTATAGCTGTGGGGAAGGTTTCTGGTAGATTCTCCTTTTCCTGTATCTTCATTTTTAGATCACAGAGGTTTTTCTGCAGAATGTGAAAGGGGGAAGCTGCTGGTGTTGGTCTGGCACTGACATTACTTTCAAGATCACTGATAGTCTGGCTTGCCTCCTTCAGTCTCCCCAGGGTCACCAGGCACTCCGCCTTACGCAACATCACCTTGGGCTTCAGTCTTTCTGGATATCCATGCACCAGTGCTCTGATGATATCGTTGAGACAGGTCTGAAAACAGAAGGGAAACCCCAAGATGATCCTTGGTGTTTATCTTGCAATCTGTATGGAAAATCTTTCCAAAAATCTATAGGAAAGTTATAAGAATTATTAGTATATGTGCTGCTGAAGTGAGCACAATTAAGAATTATTAAAAGTAGAACAGGGCTGGGGATTTAGCTCAGTGGTTTTGCCGCCTGTTGCGCAAGTGCAAGGACCGGAGTTCGATCCCCACTACCAAAAAAAAAGTAGAACAAATGCAACCAAGACCTTATTTCTTTAAATTATATTCTACTGTGTGATTTTTTGTGTGTGTGGGGGGACATTAGGGGTTGAACTCATCCTAAAATATAAATATGATTTTGGTCACTTCCTGTTTTAAAAACTCTACTGACACAATTCTCAGGGCCTTGTATATGCTAAGCGTATGCTCTGCTACTAATCTACAGCCCTAGCCTCTGTGTGATCTTTTAATTGTTGAGGATATTGGTTTTTTTGTTGTTGTTTGATTTTTTTTTTTTTTTTTTGAGACAGGGTCTCACTATGCAGTGCAGGCTGGCCTTGAGTTCACTAGTCGCCCAGGGTGGCCTCAAACTTGTGGCGATTCTCCTGCCTCAGCCTACTGAGTGTTAGACCCGACGAGGATATTATGTTTAATTGTTCTTATTAAATATTTCTATTTTCTTAAAAGTAGAAAAAAAGAAATAAAGCTGTATAGAATTATAGAGAGTTTAAGAGGGCAGACTCTGAATCCAAACAAACCTGCATTCAAATACTGACTATGCCTCTACAAATGCATGACCTTATGCAAGAACTTAATTTCGCAGCGATTTAGTTCTCTCATCTGAAACACAGGGATGATAATACCTCATCAGGTTGTTTTAAGGATGAAATAAAGTAATCTATCTGAACTGCAGAAAGGAGTGCCTGGAATATATTATGTGGTCAATAAATAGGAATCATTATTAGATGAAGGAAAACAGAAACAATCAATACAGGGAAGTTATAAAAAGTTCAATGTTTTGCAAGTTCTTCTAATGCCTGTTCTTAGTAGCCCAGGACTTTCTTGCTTATGACCTAGAATTAGATTCTCACTCTTCTCTGTTAGTCTGAAGGCCAGTAAGTGTGAACATGTGACTATTACAATAGTTTTAAACTCTAAGGTATAATTTGAATTTCAGTAGAAGTCTGAAATGAATGTAGTCATACCTTGGTACTTGATTTCTTTGAAACTTGTTGAATTTGGTACATGATGCATTTTGACTTGAAAATTTTGTCCTAGCACTTGTTGTTTGGTACTTGACAGGCAAGCTAGAACTTGCTGGTGTCAATTGCCTCACGACTCACTACCTTTTCTAGACAAAATAATTAGTTTTGTACTTGTTGTTCTGTTATCCATTGTGCCTCCTTGGACCATTAATGATGAGTACTGATGTACTACTGTACTAAATAGCATTTTATAGCTTGCTCTTAGGCCTCTCTAGTGTAAACTTTGGAGGCCTCACAGGTATCTTCCTAAAGATAAATCTAATTTTTAGTCATTTTCTGTTTTATAAACTCCACTGACACAATTCTGAACATTTTTTTTTTCTGTTACCACATTAAGAGATGAGAAGCCACTCATAGAAAAGCCTACCTTATAGGCATTCATAGGCATTTCAGGGCACCTTTTATTTTCCCACACTCTGTGCTTATTAAAGGAAAGCTATATTATTATTATTAATTTTTTTTTGGTACCAGGGGTCAAACTTGGGTCCTTGCGCTTGCACAGCAGGCGACAAAACCACTGAGCTAAATCCCCGGCCCAGAAAGCTATATTATTAAAGGGATAATTGTAAAAATGCTCTACTTGTTTGAACTAAATAAATGAACAAGTAAATACTATGGACACACTTGGAACCTAAAGTATTATTAGCAACATATCATACAGCTGATCTTGACGCCGAGAACTGTTGGCCTATTGGATCTGGTCCATGCCCCCGTCCAGCGTGTCATAGCTTTTTCTTGTCAACCAGCACCACTTTGCATAGCCACCTGTGACAGGCGAAATGAATCAAGGGAATGAACAAGTTTGGATGGATATCAGTATGCTTCCAATTCAGCCAACAGAAGCACAGCCTAATTTCCGTCTTTTAAGAAAGGAGACAGAGTAGAGGGCCAGGGATTTAGCTCAGTGGTTTTGTTGCCTGCTGCGTAAGAACAAGGACCTGAGCTCAATCCCCAGTACCAAAAAAAAAAAAAAAAAAAAGAAAGGAGACAGACACCTTGTCTTCCAGTGAAGTCCCAGGCATGACACCAGGTGTCCTGATACTCACTTCGTACTGACCCAAGTGGAAGAGGGCTGCAGAACGATTAGCATAGCACAGTGAAATGTCCTCAGTGTTAGGCCTTGAATGTGAAACTCCCTGCAAAACAATGAACTAGTTTATAGCTGTCAATGCCGACACCAGAAAACAGAGTGAGTTTAAATAAACAATCTGTTATGGTTTATATCAACATGTCCCCCCCCCACCCCGAAGCCTTGGGCACTCACAGGTGGGGTTTTGGGGAGGTGACTGGATGTGGGGGTGTGACAGTCATCAGTGGATTAGCCCACTGATAAGTTTATAGCTAAATATAATGTTGGAGGTGAAGCCTGGTCAGAGGAGGTGGGTCATCTGGGGACGTGGCTGAGAAGGGTCTCTCTCCCATACTCTCCCTTTGATTGTTCTTTGCTTCCCACTATCAGGCCATGCCACCCTGCAATGGAGCCAGCCAACTATGGACTAAATCCTCTACAAGCTGTTAGCCAGAATAAACTTCTCCTCCTTTAATTTGTGTTGGGTAGGGCCGGGGATTTAGCTCAGTGGTTCTGTCGCCTGTGCCTGCCTAGCAAGCACAAGGATTGAGTTCAATCCCCTGTACCAAAAAAAAACAAAAACAAAAAAAAAACAAACTAAGAAGTTTATGGTGGACTAAAATAAGCACACTTAAATATCAATGAATAAAAACTATTTTGGGCCGGGGATTTAGCTCAGTGGTTCTGGTGCCTGCCTCGAAAGCGCAAGGACCAGAGTTCAATCCCTGGTACCAAAAAAACCCCCCAAAACAAACTTGTGTTGGGTATTTTGTCCCAGCAACATGAAAGTAACTAAGACATAACCTAATGAGGTCCTAGAAAAAGAAAAGCAATTCAAATCCAAAGCTAGTAGAAGGAAGGAAATTATAAAGATCAGAGCAGAAATGAATGAAATTGAGACTAAAAAAACAATACAAAGAATCAATGAATCAAAGAGCTGGTTCTTGGAAACAAAATAGGCAACCCTCTAGCCAATATGGAAAAGGAAAGAAAAGACCCAAATCAATGCAATTAGAAATGAAAAAGGCAAAATCACTATGGACTCTGGCAAAATCCAGAAGATTATTATTAGTTACTTTGAGAATCTGTAAAATGAAGAATTCAGAAGAAATGGATAGATTCCTAAATACATCTGAACTACCAAGGCTGAACTAAGAAAACATAAAATACCTGAATAACTCAAGATGTGGGTTTTTTTTTAATAAAATGGAGTACTACTCAGCCATAAGAATGAGAAACTAGAGACATTTATAGCTAAATGGATGCACATCTGAGGTGATACTCTTAAGTGAAATAAATAAGACACATGTGTAAATACTGAATAGTTTCTCTGGTGTGAGAAACTGAAAGTGTAAATAAGGATCAAAATGTATAACAGATAATGTGAAATAGGAAGAAAAGGTCCAAAGGGGAAGGAGAAGTGGGAAGGGTAGGGAAAAGAAAAGAAGGGAAAGGAATAAATATGAGAAAAGGAAAAAATGGAAACAAAGTCTTTGTAAATAGGGAAGGGTGGAGGGTTAAAGGGAGGGCAGGGGAAGGGGGAAAAAAATAAGAACCAAGATATATCATGTAAAGGTACAAATTCCCAATGATGAATGTCATATTGTATACCTAAAATGTACCAATAAATTAATGAATTAAAAAAAAAAACCCTGAGTAACTCAATATCAGACAATGAGATTGAAGAAGTAATAAAAAAAACTACCAGCTAAAAAAAGCCCAGGTTCTGATGGATTCACTGCTGAATTCTACAAGAACGTTAGGGGAAGCTAGCATTCCTGATTCCCAAACCGGAAAGGACTCAATCAAAAAAGACAACTACAGGGCCAGGGATTTAGCTCAGTGGTTTCACCGCCTGCTGTGTAAGTGCAAGGACCGGAGTTCGATTCCCGGTACCAAAAAAAAAAAAAAGACAACTACAGGCCATTCTCATTAATGAACATAGATGCAAAAATCCTCACCAAGATACTGGCAAACAGGATGCAATAAGTCATCAAAAAAATCATACATCATGACCAAGTAGGCTTCATCCCAGAGATTCAGGGACAGTTCAACATATGGATATCAATAAATATAATACATCACATAAACAGAAGCAAGGACAAAAATCATATGATCATCTCAATTGACACGGAAATAGCCTTGGACAAAATCCTACATCTGTTCATGATAAAAGTGCTGAAAAAGGGCCAGGGATTTAGCTCAGTGGTTTCGCCGCCTGCTGCGCAAGTGCAAGGACCTGAGTTCGATCCTTGGTACCAAAAAAAAAGGTCCTGAAAAAAATAGGTATAGAAAGACTTTATCTCAACTTGATAAAAGCCATTTATGACAAAACAATGGCCAACATCATATTAAATGAGGAGAAGCTGAAAGCTTTCCCTCTAAAATTAAGAACAAGACAAGGATATCCATTATCATCACTACTGTTCACTAGTTCTTGAAACATTAGCCAGAGCAATTAGACAAGAGAAAGAAATAAAAGGGATATGTACAGGAAAAGAAGAAGTCAAATTGTCATTATTTGCAGATAACATGATCCTCCACATAAAAGATCCCCAGCACTCAGGAGGCTGAGACAGGAGGATCACTGAGAGTTTGAGGCCAGGCTGGGCTATATAGTGAGTGCAAGGCCAGCTTAAACTGCATAGCAAGAGATCTTGTCTCACACAAACAAACAAAACCAAAAAATTCCACCAAAAGACTGCTAGAATTAATAACCAAATTCAGTAGTGAAGGAGGACACAAAGTCAACACACAAAAATCAATAGTGTTTCTGTATATCAATAATAAACTCACCAAAGAAAAATTAGGGAAACGATACCTTACACAATAGGATCAAGAAAAATTAAACACTTAGGAATTAACCTAACCAAGGAAATGAAAAACCTCTGCAATGAAAACTACAGTACTCTGAAAAAGGAGATTAAAGAAGACATCAGAAAATGGAAAGATATCTCCTGTTCCTGAATAGGCAAAACCAATATAGTCAAAATAGCCTTACTTCCAAAATTGATGTACAGATTTAACACAATCCTGATCAAAATACCAATACTATTCCTCACAGAACTACAGGAAGCAATCCTAAAATTTATATGGAATGAGAAGAGACCTAGAATAGCAAAAGCAATCCTGGGCAACAAGAGCAAGACAGGAAGTATCACAATACTGGACTGAAAGTTATACGACAAAGCTACAGTGATAAAAACAGCCTGGTATTGGGAAAAAACAAAACAAAACAAAATAAAACCAACCAGACATGTAGATCAGTGGAACAGAATAGAGGATGCAAAAACAACTCCAAGCATATTAGCTACCTTATTTTTGACAAAGGAACCAAAAACTTATACCAGAGGAAAGATAGCCTCTTTAACAAGTGGTGCTGAGAAAACTGGCTATCCACATGCAAAGGATTGAATCTAGACCCATCTCTCTTACCATGTACTGAACTAAAATCAAAATGGACCAAAGACCTAAATATTAGAACAGCCGGGCCAGGTGGCACATACTGTAATTCCAGTACTTTGGTAGACTGAGGCAGGAGGATTGCTGAAAGTTCAAGGCCAGCCTGAACTACATAGTGAGACCCTGTCTCAAAAACCCCAAACAATAAATAAATAAATAACAAAACAAAACAAAATATCTGGGTGTGGTAGTGCATGCCTATAATCTCAATACAGAGAGGCAGAGCCCAGAGGCTATGTAGAGGCCTGGGCTACATAGTGAGTTCAAGGCAAACTACATAGCAGACCCTGTCTCAAAACAAAACAAAGAAGAAAACCAGAAACAACCTACTGGAAGATAAAATAGGTAAAACTCTTGAAGACAGGCATAGACAAGGACATTCTGAACATAGCACCAATTGCACAGGAAATAACACCACAAATCAACAAATGGGATCATATCAAATTAAAAAGCTTTAGAAAAAAAATAAAAATACAAAAACAAAACATAACACACACACACACACACACACAAAGCTTCTGCACAGCAAAGGAAACAAATCAACAAAGTGAAGAGACAATCTACAGAATGGGAAAGTTTTTTGCAGCTATTCTCCAGACAGAAGAGTAATATCTAGAATATGATAAAGAACTTAAAAAAATAGATCCCCCAAAATATGACCCAATCAAAAACGCACAACTGATATGAACAAATGCTTCTCAGAAGCAATACAAATGGCCAATAAATACAAGAAGACATGTTCAACATCTCTGGCCATTTAGAGACATACAAGTTAAAACAATGAGATTCCATCTTACTCCAGAAAGAGTAGCTATCATTAAGAAATCAGGTAAAAATTGGGTCAGGGATTTAGCTCAGCAAAAAAAAAAAAAAAAAAAAAAAAATCAGATCACAACAAAACTGAAAAAGAAAATTAAAAAAAAAAGGGTGGATGTCACAAATAGAAATTTATTGAAGAAGAAACACAAATAATTAACATATGGAAAGCAATTCATATATGGATAGCCAAATATATGCAAATGAAAGCAAAAAAAGGAATACTTTTTTCTCCCATCAAACTGGCAAGAAAAGATGAGAATTATTCATCGAAGTTATTGGGGCAAGTGGACAACTTCTGAGGAAAAAACAAGTTCGCTTAACATATGATAAACCTTTCACTGGGTAATTCTGAATGGTTCGAACATTTTCTGGGCCAGGAGGGGTGCTAGCATTTGAACCCAAGGGCCTCACACACGCTAAGGGGTCCACCACTAAGTTACATCTCCTTCCCTTCAAATGGCTCAAACTTTTAATGTAAAAGATGAAACTATAACAACATTGGAGGAGAATATAGGAATAGTCTAAAGTAATGTTAGAGGAATCACTAATTATAACACAAACCCCAAAAGTCATACAAAGGTTAATACATTTGACCACATAAAAATAAAAAATTTCACAGCAAAAACCAATAAAGGCAATATCAAAATGGAAACACTAGACTGGAAAAAATACAAGCAACTCATATTACAGGCAAAGAGCTAATTTCTTTATCAAGAGTTTCTACAGATCAATAAGATGACAACGAATACTTCAATAGAAAAATATGCAAATGAATGGATAGTTCTTATGAGAAATACAAATGGCACTTAAACATCTGAGAAAATGCTCAACTTCTTTCATCATCAACTATCCAAATTAAAACTGTACCGAGATACCATTTTTCACCTATCAATTTGGCAAAAAAAAAAAATTGATAGCACATTCAGTTGGCAAAGGAAGGGGCAGAAAACATTCTTCTTTTTGTTTTTTGGTGGGTTTTTTTGGTACCAGGGATCGAACTCGGGTCCTTAGCTTGCGAAGCAGGCGGTGGAACCACTGAACTAAATCCCCGGCCCAGAAGACATTCTTATTATGTTGCTAGTTGGACTGTAAATTAGTCTGATGATTATGAAGGGCAACTGAGCACTTTAAATCAAAGTTTTAGATTATATATATATAGATAGATAGATAAAATCTCCATTGATCCAGCAATTCCTCTTCTAGGAATTTATCCGATAAATATATGTGTAAAATGATATACATGAAGTTTCTTACCATAGAAATTTTTTTTTGGCAGTACTAGGGATTGAATCCAAGGCCTCACAGTGACCTACCTCCATATTTCTTTTAAAATTTTTTTATTTTAAGACAGGATCTTGCTAAGTCACTAAATTGCCCGTGCTGGGCTCAAGCCTGTGATCCTCCTGTCTCAATCTCCCAAAGTGCTAGGATTACGAACATATGCCACCATGCCTGGCTAGAATGAGGAAGCTCTTTACATACTGATGTGGAATGATCTTCAAACTATTATTATTGTTTGTCTGTAATTTTTTTTTTTTGGTGTTGGAGATTGAACTCAGGACCTTGAGCTTGTGAGGCAGGTGGTGGCACCACTGGCCTAAATCCCCAGCCCTATTATTATTATGGTTATTTGCAGTGCTAGGTGTTGAACCCAGATTCTTGAAAACTGCTAGGCAAGCATTCTACTACTGAGCTATGTTCTTAGCCCTCAAACATAGTAAATGACAAAAATAAGGTGAACAGTACATATAGAATGTTACCATTTATGTAAAATGAAAGTGTAGGTACAGGAGTGGAAGATTATTTATTTGTGGTTCTAGGGATGAAACTCAGAACCTTGTACATGTTAGTCACATGCTCTAACACTGAGCCACACACCAGACCCATTTCTTTATTCTTTAATATTTTTAAAGAAATGAGGTCTTGGGCCAGGGATTTAGCTCAGTGGTTCCGCTGCCTGCTTCGCAAGCTAAGGACCCGAGTTCAATCCGGGGTACCAAAAAAAAAGTGCAAGGTCCCGAGTTCTATGGGCAGTACCAAGGAAAGAAAAAAAATGAGGTCATGCTCAGGCTGGTCTCAAACTTCTAGGCTCAAGTGATTCTCCTGCTTCAGACTCCTGGAGTGCTGGACTACAAGTGCATGCCACTGTACCCGGTTACATTTATATATGCCTGAAATACAATATTTTTAAGAGTCCTAGCTTGTGTAGATGAGGTGACTAGGGACAGAAGTAGAATAGACAACTTCTGAAATCTAAGTATGTGAACATATTTTCTATTCCAAAATAAACAGAATGGTAATAAAACTATAATCACTAGGATTACTTAAGCTATGGAGAAATGAACATTCCTATACTCTGTCAGAATGGATGTTAACTAGTGCTTTTACGGAGAACAATTCAACACCAAAAAGCAAAGGGTTTAAAAAATATGTTCCCTCTGATCCAGCAATTACCTTTCAATTAATTCCTAAGGAAATCCTAAGGAAACAATCAGTTGTATAGAAATTCTTACATAGAAAGATGCTCATTGTAGAATTATGATACCAAACATATGCCAACATTAGATGTTAAATTAAGTACATTTCTTCTCTGTAATGGAACACTAAGCTAGTTGTAAAAAAATCATGTTCTAGTGAAAAATTTAATAACATGAGAAAATGGGCACAATAAATTGTTGAGGGGGAAAAAGCAGGTTAGAAAACATTAAATGCAGCATTATCCCAATTTTGTAAAAGAAAAACATTTTCATAGAAAATAGTCTGGCTGGTTGGATATAAGCAAAAATGTTAGCAGTGCCCATAACTGGTTATGGGATTTTTTTTATTCCTTAAACTTCCCTATATTTTCCAAAGTAACATGTATTACATTTATAGATGAAAACAACAAATATTACTTTAAAAAAGAAAAATAGCAGCTTTTGAGAAAATTGCAAAGTGCCATAATCACCAAAGTACTAGCTTCAAGAAGTAGGAAGCTCAGCTCCCTCCATATCCACAGCAAGCCTTAATTTTTTTGTCTGACTTCACTTTTTACCTGTTTTCCTTGAACAACTTTTCATGTGATCACACTAATGATACACATACATAAAACTGAAGAGATTAGCTGTAAAAAAGAACTATTAAGCCATTTATCATTGGATCATCACATCTAATGGATTTTAATCCTTCAACAATCATTAAAGCTTACATTATTTAGCTAAATGCTTTGTTATAATACTACAAAGCAGGCCTTTTATCAATGGTAGAAGCTATTCTAGGTTTGATAGTTTTTGGAAAATTCAAACTTTGAGCATAGCCCTGATAAAGATTCAGAACAGAGGTATACCCTTCAAATTTACACTTTAATTAATTTGTTAATTAATTTTTTGGTTGTGCTGGGGATTCAAATGAGGGCCTCATGCATGCTAGGCAAGCTCTCTACTACTGAGCTACACAGTCAACCCCTTCCTCTCATTCTTTCAATGTACTGTGGAAGATCATAAACCTGAGGCAAGGGATACATTCTTGCTTTAAGTACATATAGATCTCTAGAGAAATCTCTCAGGGGATCTTGCTCTAGTTGCTACCATGGAAGCAGGCCAATAATAGTCCTAGACCATTAAAAGCCATGATTCCTCCTCAAAATCTAGCTCATTGATGGTTAGTATAATTAAAACTATTTGTTGATTGCCACTAATATTAATATGTTCCCTGACAACCTTCAAAATCGAGTTCAGCTAGGCTGTGGCAAATCAGCCCGTTTTCTTTTCTATCTTGTCATTCTGGTTTTAAGCTAACCCTATGGCTAGCTAAAACCTCACTGTCCTCTAAATCAGGGCTATCAAGCTAACAGCCTCATCCATCAGACAAAAAAGGCATATCATTCAATGAGAGCTGACAGATGCAGCAAGCCAGGAGAAGAGGCCAATAAGCCTACTGCTCTGAGGTGTCTGAAGGAATAAGGGACTAGAAGTTTTTTGATGAAATTCAGGACATATAAAGTAACCTTTGTTTTGGAATATAACCAATTCTGCCAATTTACTTTTTGAAAACCAATCCACAGAAAATAAACAAAAATAACACCGGCTATGAAATTTAGCAATATGGCGCTATCTTCTGCAGAAATATGTTGAAATGCTGGGCTGGGAGCATTTTACCTTAGAGTACAGCACTGCGGCCCCAGTGTAATTCTTCTCCTGGAAGTTTTTGTTTCCTTCTTCTCTGTAGAAACGGGGAGCGTTGGGATCCTTTCCCACCAAGTAACCTTGAGAAAGTCTTTTTAAAAACCTCTCATCCTCAGATCTTTGTGAAGAAAGAAGGAAACAACAATATATATAAAAAGCAGAACTTTATTATTTTAAGGAAAGCTCCAACTCACTGCACTTGAAACAGGATGTATGCCCGAGACATATGGAGCACACAAGGCTATATATATTATGTAACATGACTGGAAGAAAGCATCTTTTCCAGGGCTTGGAGACATATGGACTAGAATTTCTATTCAGAATAAAAGAGTGCCAATGTTTTATTCTTTACCTCATACTTACTGGTCAGTGACCCATCCCTCGGGTCATACATCATAAAGAAGCTAGGATGTAGAGAATGATATAATACATGGACTGTTCACATCAAGGAAACATTCTTTGCTATTTCTCCACTTAAACTGTGGTGAAAATACTTGAGTGAATGCAGGGAGGAGTAGGGGAGAGGGGGAGAGAGACAGAAAGAAAGAGAGAAGAGGAGGAGGAGGAAGAAGGGAAGGAAGAAGGGAAGGGGGAGGGGAGAAATGAATCATACAGTAAATGCAGTGAATGTTAACATTTGGAGACTCTAAACAAGGGTGTCTTGGGCTGGGGATTTAGGTCAGTGGTTCCGTTACCTGCCTCGCAAGAGCAAGGATCCGAGTTCGATCCCCGGTACCAAATAAATAAATAAATAAACACTAAATAAATAAATAAACACCAAAGAAGGGTATCATAATAGCAATTAATTTGGACTATTTTTACAAGTGAAATTATTTAAAACTAAAGTAAATGAAATTATTTAAAACTGACATCTTAAAATATAAGTATACAAATAGTCTATGTAATAATAAAGTTGATCTAATATATAAATATATGAACATACATATACATACCCTGACAATAGAGAATATATCTTTTTTCTCAATAAGGAAAAATAGTATAGAATAATCTATACTACACTCTTTAGCTACAATGCCATAAAGTAAAACATGCATAACAAAAGTAGAAACAAAAATGACATGAAAAACTGAAAGTTCTCTTCAGCAACCCTTGGGTCAAAGAAGAAATCACAATCAAAACTGCAGAATGTTTATGTGTGTTTTCAAATTTTTGTCTTTATAATAAAGACCAACAATAAGAAATACCTTTTACATTATCAGTTGGCATGACGCTTCTGTGTATGTACATGCTGGATTTTCAAGTTAAAAACAAAGTTAATATCAAATATGACTTCAAGGGCCGGGGATTTAGCTCAGTGGTTCTGCCGCCTGCCTCGCAAGCACAAGGATCCGAGTTCGATTCCCGGTACCAAAAAAAAAAAGACTTCATATTTAACTACAACATAGAACAAATTCACAACATAAAAAGAAAAATTATTAAAGATTTTATTTAATTCTGGGGCTGGGGATTTAGCTCAGTGGTTCTGCTGCCTGCCTCGCATGCACAAGGACCCAAGTTCGATCCCCGATACCCTCCCAAAAAAGATTTTATTTAATTCAAAAGGTATGCTTTCCTATTCTAAATTTACTCCAGTCTTGAACATATGAAGACAATACTCTATGCATATCTGGCATACTACAGAATCTATTTTTTATTTTTAAGTTAGGTTAAACTTGAAAATCCTACTTCAAACAAAAAGGCTGTGGTAAGCAATAAGGAATGCTGAAATTCTCGCATAACAAGATATTCTTTACTCTTAACATGATAAACTCAATGTTCGTTAATTATTCTTCAGTATAATTAAGGTCTAAATTGCAATAATTCATTCTTTTCTTCAGGTCACAAGTTTAACTCAGACTCAGTTCTGAAAAGCAAATGGGTGGTCTATCTTTTTTATGTTTAAATTTTTTCTCTGGAATGTTTGATAAACATGTGACTTTGGGAGATGGAATAGTCTCAGATTTTTGTTTTGTCTTGCAATACTGGGAATTGGACCCAGGGCCTTTGCCATGAACGATAACCCCAGGCCTTTTCTTAAATTTTGGGGCTGGGACTTGCTAAATTGCTAAATTGCCCAGGTTGGGCTTGAACTTGAGATACTCCTAATCCTCCTAGAGTACTTCTAGTTTTTTATTGTAATAAAATATACACGACATACAATTTATCATTTTAACAATTATGTGTACCGTTTAGTGGCATTAAGTTAATTTACTATAATGTGCAACTGCCACCACTATCCATTTCTAGAACTTTTGCATCATGCCAAACTGAAACCTTCTCCTCATTAAATATTAATCCTTCATCCTTTTTTCCCAGTCTCTGGTGAATTTTTTCTGCTCTCTGCCTCTTAGGTTCTTCATATAAGTGGAATCATCTACTACTGTCATTTTGTGTCTGGCTTATGTCACTTAGCGAAAAGTTTTTTAGATTCATCCATGTTGCAATATGTTGCAGAACTTCACTACTTTTTATGGCTGAATAATATTCTGTACTATGTACATACCACAATTTGTTTATCCACTCATCCATTAATGAACATTTGGGTTGTTTGCCCTTTTAGCTATTGTGAATAATGCTGTTATGATTACAGGTGTGCACATATTGTCTCAAGACTCACTTTCAATTTTGGGGGGTTTAAACATAGAAATACGAATATTGAATCACACAGTAATTTTATAATTAATTTTTGAGCAACTGCTATACTATTTTCCACAGTGGCTACATCATTTTATATTTCTACTAGCAATGCACAACAATTACAATTTCTCTACATCTTCGGCTACTTTTTTTTTTTTTTTTTTTAATCTTTGGCTACTCTTTAAAAAAAAAAATCTAAACTGTAAAGCCATCCCAAACCGTGAAGTTGTATTTTTCTGTGGTTTTGATTTGCATTTCCCTAAGAGTTAAAGACATTCAGCATCTTTTCAAGTGCTTATTGGTCATCTGTGTATCTTTTGCTGTAGAGAAATGTTGATTCAAAATCTTTGGCTATTTTTTAATTGGGTTTTCTTATGTTGAGTTGTAGGAGTTCTACATCCCCAGCTCTGTTTACTTTTAGTTTTTATTTTTTTGGGTTTGAGACAAGGTCTCACTGTGCAGTCCAGGCTGGCCTTGAACTCTCAGTGATCCTCCTGACTCAGCCTCCTGAGTGTTTATTTTTATTTTGAGTCAAGGTCTTGCTAAATAGGCCAGGCAAGACTTGAACTTGTGATCGTCCTGCCTTGGAGTCCCAAGTGCTAAGGTTATAGGAGTGTGCCACCATGCCCAGCCCAAGGGATCTCTCCTCTAATAGCCTGACCATCCCCTCATGATTATTGCCAGAAGCACACACTACACTGGGGGATTACAAAATGGTTGTTTTCTAATTCTGTTACTTGTAAATTTATTAACTGACATTCTTCTGTAAAGAGAATTTTTTTCTCTTTTCCTTCTTTTACTTATTTTTATATTTATCTTCAGTATCACTATGGACTTAAAAGATTCAATTTATAAACCATTACCATCATCATACTTTTTCATTTTCAAATTGTCCTAACTTTGGCCAATGAGAACTTCTTTAGGCTGGTTCCCGTGTTCTTTTTACATAAATCCTTCAGTCTCTGAGCATTTCCTTGCTTTCTGGCACAACAAAGGATTCTGGTTGAGTATAAAACCAAAACAAATGTAAGGATGAGAAAGGCCGTGATACTAGATACTCCAGATCATCAGCTGCAGGGGTGGGAAGGGCCTCTCAATAAAAGGTTTTCAAATATTGGTGAAAGGCAAGAAAGAAGTGTATGTCTAATTTTAAAGGCCCAATTTATACTTTTCTTTAATAGGGATGCATATGGAGATTAGAAGTTTAAATCTCCTTTGGTAACTTTAGATCATGATTGGGTCATTTTACAAATAGCTCTTTAAGATGACTTGTTTTTAAATAGAGAAGTTTGGGGCTGAATTAGTGAGACACACAGAGCAAACAAAAATGGAAGTAATTATTAACTTCAGGGAAAACAAAAGTTGTACAAGAAAGGAAACGTAATTCAAAGCATACCTCTTGGTTCATGTGAGTAATATTTACAAAAGCATTAAGAATGTATGCATCGAATGTTGGTTTAATTAACACAGTAGTTTATTGATTATGTTATAAATTATAGTTAGGATGAGGGGAAAACAAAGTATATGCAATGTGAATTGGGGACGAAAGAGCTAAATTTACATCTAAAACTAAATGTCACAAGAAACAGTTAAAATAGTTGTCTGGGAACAGGAACTAGGAATGGGGAAAGAGTGGTTATCTAGTTTTATAACCTTTGAAATACTAATTTCTTAAACACATATGCATATTATGATAAAAAATTTAAAAGGGGAGTATTAAAAAAAAGGGGGGGGAGTATTTCCAATTAATAAGCCACCAGATGTACAGAGATTCACAGGGTTTTTTCTACTATACTATAAGTACTACATAATCCCTACATTAACTACTTCAGAACACAGAAAGAGATAGGAAGTTCTCCAATTCATTCTGAGGCTGCCACAACCCTGATACCAAGAGTTGACAAATAGCACAAATAACATGTGGGCTAAAATTACAAATACAGATAGAAAAATCCTGAAAGTAATATTAGGAAATTGAATCTAGCAGCATGTTAAAAGAATGTTAGATTAGTTGGGCATGGTGGTACATACTTGTAATCCCAGCACTCTGGGAAGCTGAGACAGGAGGACTGCAAGTTCAAACCTGGCCTGAGCAATTTAGATGAACTCTGCTTTAAAATAAATTTTTTTTTGTACTGGGAATTGAACTCAGGACCTTGCACTTGCCAGGCAGGCGCAGCACCACTGAGCTAAATCCTCAGCCCAAAATAAATTTTTTTAAAAGGGCTGGGGATGTAGCTTAGTGGGAAGATCCTGGGTTCAATCCCTACTCCTGAAAAAAACAAAACACTGTTAGACTACAACTATAAACAGTTTAGAGCCCAAGCAATTCGAGTATAGTAAATCTACTGGTGTAACTCCTACATTAATAGACTAAAGGAGAAAAAGAAAATGATCATTGAGTAATATGAATAATATCTCAAAACATATCCACAAAGTACTTCATAAAATTTAATACCTATTTATGGGCCAGGGGTTTAGCTCAGTGGCACTGGGAGTACCTTGCAAGGTCAAGGTCCTGAGTTGGATCCCTGGTACCAAATAAATAAATAAATAAAAATTTAATACCTATTTATGATGCAACTGTAGAATTTAATTTGGGAAACTTCCTGAAACTCAAACAGGGTATACACCATAAATCTATGGTAAATGTCCTAAATGGCTTTTACTATTCAACATTGTATTCGAGATCTAACTAATGCTATGAAAATTAAAAAGTAAAATAAAGGCATACATATTGCAAAAAAGAGGGCCGGGGATTTAGCTCAGTGGTTCTGCTGCCTGCCTCCCAAGCACAAGGACCTGAGTTCAATCCCTGGTACCAAAAAAAAATATTGGAAAAAAGGCATACTATTTGCAGATGTAGTTATTTAACCTAAAAATTCCAAGTGGATTGGCACAACAACAATGGCATAATGTGAAAGTACAATGTAACTGAGGAGAAAAAAGGCTTATACACAATAACAACAAAAAACCTTACAAGTAAGAATAAATCTAACAAGAAGTGTACATAAAGAAAACTATAAAACTTTACTTAAGGACATAAATGAAGGCTTAAATAAATGGCAAGACAACCCATTACTTGGATAAAGAAATTTAATATTGTAAAGATGTCAGGTCTCCCTAAATGAATCTATAAATTCAACACATGCCCAATCAAAAACTCAACATTTTTTATGGAACTTGACAAGCCTACTCTAAAGTTCACATGGGGGGAAATGTATACAATACAGGCAAAATATTCTTGAACAAGCACAAAGACTGTGTATGTATGTGGGGAAACTTGGCTTAACAAATAGTAAAACACCATTTGTATGAGCGAATTCCCTGCTTTTGAGATTCCTTTCCTCATCTGCTGGTAAATCTTGGAGGGGAAACCTTCCTTGGGTTGAAGTAGGGCTGACTTCAACCTCACAGCAGGGTTGGGCATGTGATACAGAGGAGCCCACACCTTTGGCTCAAGGGATGTGGATGTGATTGCACATAATCAAAATCAGGTTCATCTGCGTTCAATGCAGAACTTTTCACAGAAATTCTCTGGAAAGATGCCCTCTTTCCCTTGGGTTAAGCTATCAAGGTGTGTCCAGGGCTGTGAATGGTTAAGTATCCACCAGGTGCAGAGTCTGCAGAGAGAAGATATATGGAGTGTGATGACATCTCTGAGCCTCTGGATACCTGAAAATAGATTTGCTTTTGGACATCCTACTTTCACAGCTATAAATTTTATAATTTGAGCTGGGTTTCTGTTACTTGAAACTGAAAGAGTTCTGAAATGATATGATAAAGTCATGGTAATTAAAACCCTTTCATTTGGGCACAGATATATTAGTCTAAAAATAGCTGGGTATGACGGTGCATGCCTGTAATCTCAGCATTTAGGAGGCTGAAGCAGGAGGATGGCTGTGAGTTCAAAGCCAGTATGGGCTATACAGTGAGTTCAAGGCCAATCTGAACTACATAGTAAGACTCTGTTTCAAAAACAACCAAGCAAGCAAACAACAAACCAAACAAACAAAAAGACCACTCCTCAAAAAAACTCCACAAAAACCAAAAGTCTAGAAACAAATTTATGGGAAGTAGGAATTTTATTTTCAATAAATATGGCATTTTGAAGCTCTGGGAAAAGGATGGGCCAGGACTAAGTACTATGGAAAAATTGTCTATCTGGAAAAAAGTTAGAATACTTCCTCACATCAAACAACATTAATTGTAGATATATTTGTGTATCATAATATCATATTGTACACCTTAAATATATGTGAGTTTTATTTGTTAGTTATACCTTAACAAAACTGAAGGACTGAAGATGGATTAGAGTTAAAAGTAAAGCATAAAACTACAAAAAAGTTTAAAGAAAACTCAGTAGTTTTGGTTTTCTCCTTTTCTTTTTTGTATGGGAGATCGAGCCAAGGCCCTTTGCACTACGCTACATCACTAGGCCTTGTTTTATTTTGAGAAAGGGTCAGGCTAAATTGCTGAATTGCCTAGGCTGGGCTCAAATTTGTGATCCTCCTGCCTCAGCCTCCCAGCCTGCTAGGATTATAGGCATGTGTTACCACACCCGGCTCACATTCCATAGTTTTAGAGTCTTAGTGTAGAGTAGATCATCCTACGCACCACACATAATCCAGAAGCTATAAAAGAAATGACAGATATGGCTGTACAAAAGTGAAAACACATATGCACAATTTATATACTGTTTTCCCTTGCTACCTGAATAGGATTGGTTCCAGGGCCCCTACAGATACCAAAGATCCTTGAGAACCTTATATAAAATGGCATAATTGGTATTTGCAGATAACCTGTGCACATTCTCCCTTATACTAAATCATCTCTGGACTACTTATGATAACTAGTTCAACAAAAATGCTATACAGTTTTTTAAACTGTATTATTTTGGGAATAATGACAAGGAAAGAAAGTCTATTTATGTTCAATATCTCATAGGCTAACTACACAGAACACAAATGAGACACCAGAGATGAAGCAAACAATACTCACACATTGAGTGCTGGAGAGGGACTGAGGGTCTGTGAAAGCCAGGAGGCAGGGTCTGCCTACACATTGTGTCATTCATGTGGACTCAGGGTAATTTAACTTTAACTTTTTGGGGACTTTCTGGGATTGTTTTTGTCCTTAATATTTTCCATCCAAGGTCAGGTGAATTCAGAGATACAGAATCTATGAATATAGAAGGCTGACTGTAAAGTTAAAGACACCATAATTACAGTTTAAAAAAGACTAAAAACAACAGACTAAGAAAAAAGCAGTAATATATATGTCAAGGAATTATATAGCTAGACTTATGAAGATGTCCTATACATGAATAAGAAAAAGATGATTTACTAGAAAAATGGGAAAAGCACATAACAAATTCACAAAAGAAATACAAATGGGTTGTAGTAGCAGAAAAAGAATACTACTTCATTAGTAATCAGAATACTGCAATTTAACTGAAGTATTTTGCCCTTATATTTGGGAAAAATTTTTGGTACTGGGGATCGAATTCTGGACCTTGCTCTTTTGAGGCAGGTGATGGAACCAATGAGCTAAATCCCTGGCCCCAAATTTGGGAAAATTAAAGACTCCTACTTTATAATGTTGGTGAAGATATAGGAAAGTGAGTTTTATACACTGTTCATGGTAAACTGGTAAAGTCTTTCTGGAAGGCAATTTGGTAATATCTAATTTAAAATGCTTATAACCACTGACACAGAAATTCCTTATTTAGGATCTAAATTTCTTAACGATTTGCTCAAAAACACACATGGCAATTGTTTACTGAAGCACTGTTTATAAAAGTAAAACAAAACGAAATACTTGCCCACAGTAGGGGAAAGGATAACTAAACTGTGATGTAATTATACAGTACCAGTAATATTACCAGGTTAAGATTAAAGTGATGTTGAAAAACCTTACAGAATAATGCATACATTACAGACAATAAAGAAAAAAAGAGATGCATTTTTATATACAAAGGTATGAGAATGCTGTACATAAAAAGAACTAGAAAGCTTTAGTAACTAGATACCCCTATGAAAGAGTGGGAAGGGTATGACAGAAACCCATGTTTTACTCTATATTTAGAGTTAAAATAAGTAACCTTACAAATACAGTAACTTGGATTAAAGAAGAGAGTGTATCAGTTTCTTCTTGCCAATGTAAGAAACTGCCATAAATTTAGTATCTTTAAAGAACAAAAATTCATTGCCTTACAGTTCTGAAGGGCAGAAGTCTGACCTGAGCCTCAGTGGTGAGTATCAGACTTGGCAGGGATGCACTGTCATCTGGAGGCTCTAGAGGAGAACCTTTCTTTTATCTTACTTTTTCCAGTTTCTAGAGGCTGCCTGCATTCCTTGGCTTATGCCTCTTTTTCTCCATGTTTTATTTTCTTGGTTATTTTTAAGATTTTCTTCTTCTAGCTTTTCGAAGTTGAATCTGATTTCCCTAGGTGTGACTTTATCTACACAGCTTAGGGTTTGCTGAGCTTCTGGAACCTACAAATTTATATCTTTTTTTTTTTTTTTTTTTTTTTTTTGGTACCGAGGATCGAACTTGGGACGTTGAGCTTGGGAGACAGTGCTGGAACCACTGAGCTAAATCCCTGGCCCTACAAATTCACATCTTTCAAACATTTTAGAAAATGTATGGTCATATTTTTGAAATACTGTTTTTGCCCTGTTCTGTCTTCCCTCTTAAGACTATAATCATGTTAAAACTATTTGTGTTCCACATATCTCTCATGTATTGTGTAAGTTTTTGCATTTGTCTCCTCTGGGTTTCATTTTATTTTGCCTTGATTGATCTGTAAGGCAAATTACCAATCCTATATTCCATTATGTTCAATTTGCTATCAGTCTTAAGACTTGAGTACTTAATTTGTTAGAAGTATTTTTCAGTTCTAGAAAGTACATCTGATCTTTTGTTTTGTTTTGAGATGGAATCTTGGTATGTTGCCCAGGTTGACCTCAAACTCTTGGGCTCAAGCAATCTTCCTGCCTTATTAGCCTCTTCAGTAGTTAGGAGTATGAGCAGGTGACACTACACCTGGTTCTCAATTATTTTTTATAGATTTCAATTCATTGAAATCCATCTTTTCATCTACTTTTTTCAGTACCAGGGATTGAATTCAGGGCTTTGCACTAAGCTACATCCCAGTCTAATTTCTATTTTTTTGTTTTCATTTTGAGACAGGATCTCACTAAGTTGCCCAGGGTGGGCTTGAACTTGTGATCCTCCTGCCTCAGCCTCCCAGAGTGGTGGGATTACAGGTGTTTGCCACCATGCTCAGCTTTTCATCTACTCTGACAATATTTTTTTTCCCCTATTTTATTAAATATCAGGCCAGGGATTTAGCTCAGTGGTGCTGCTGCCTGCCTCACAAGCACAAGGTTCTGAGTTTAATCTCCAGTGCCAAAACCAAAATCAAAACAAATATCCTAATTGTAGTTATTTAAAAATCCTTGTCTATTAACCTCTATATGTGGACATCAGTTAGTCCATTTCCAATGTTTATTTTTCTCTGGATTACTGGTCATTTTATTTCTTTTTTATTTTTTGAGACAGGGTCTTACTATGTAGTTCAGGCTGACCTTGAACTCACTATGTAGCTCAGTCTGGCCTCAAATTTGCAGCGATCCTCCTGCCTCAGCCTCCCAAGTGCTGGGATTATAGGCATGCACCACCATGCCCAGCGATTACTAGTCATTTTAATGTACCTTTACACATCTAATAATTTTTTTTTTTTTTTGGTATTGGGGATCAAACTCGGGACCTCACGCTTGTGAGGCAGGTGGCGGAACCACTAAGCTAAATCCCTGGCCCCTACATTTAATAATTTTTAACTGTATTTTGACACTCCATATAGAACACACAATGAAGCTAGCTAATATCTTCCATCATGAAAGTGCCACATAAGGCTTTGGAGAGACATCAAGACACAAGCCATAACAGTGTATATACCACATTTTCTTTACCCATACATCTGTTGATGGGCATCTGGGTTGGTTACATATCTTGGCTATCGTGAATTGTCTGCAATAGACATGAGTATGCAGGTATCCTTATAGTATGCTGACTTTAAATATACTAAGAAGTGTTATAGCTAGATCAAATGGTAGCTCTATTTTCAGAGTTTCTTTTCTATTTTTAGTTTTTTAAGAAGCCTTCATACTGATTTCCATAGTGGCTGTACTAATTTACTTTCCCACCAGCAGTGTAGAAAGCACCCTCCTATCCTTGCCAGCAATTTTTTTTTTTAATTCTTGTTGAGAGTCATTTTGACTGGGGTGAGAAGGAATCTCAATGTAGTTTATTTGTTTGTTTTTTGGTTTTTTGAGACAGGGTTTCTGCTGTGTAGTTCAGACTGGCCTTGAACTCACTATGTAGCCCAGGCTGCCCTCAAACTCACAGAAATCCTCCTGCTTCGGTCTCCCAAGTGCTGGGATTATAAGTATGTGCCACCACACTTGGCCCTTCAATGTAGTTTTGATTTGCATTTCAACAGCCCTTTTTTGTTATGTTTATTTTTTATCTTGAGGCAGGGTCTCACTAAGTTGCCCAGGCTAAGCTCAAAACCTGTGATCTTCCTGACTCAGCCACACAGAATTCTCGGATTACAGATGTGTGCCACCACACCCAGAACAAATGCTCTTGTTTTATTTCTATACCTGTCAGTGTGCTAAAACTTCAAATGATTCTTGTTGATTTTCACATTTTTCTGTTTCACATACCAATTTATCTTGGGGAAGCTACCATTATCTAAAGTTTCATCAACAGTTTCCTGTCATTGTTAGGAAATTCTGTAAAGGAAATCCACAGATCCTCTAGCACTTTAGACATTATTTTTCAAACTGCAGATCATGACTCAGTGGGTCATGAAATTAATTTTACTGGTTCCTGATTAGCATTTTTTTTGGGGGGGGGTATTGGGGATCGAACTCTGGTCCTTGCGCTTGCACAGCAGGCGGCGAAACCACTGAGCTAAATCCCTGGCCCCTGATTAGCATTTTTAAAATGAGATAAGTTGAAGGGAAAATATTAATGGCATTACATGTAATAAATATCTATACTTTCTTGCTTGGTGAACTTATCCTCTTTCACAGTTGTCAATGCCATGTACAACTCCCAAATTTGTTTCTCTAACCAAGGCTTTTCTCCTAAACTCCAGACTTATTTACACATCTCTATTTGGGTGTCTACCAAACGTATGAAACTCAGAAGCCCTAATCTTCCTTCCTAAAACAGCCCCATCTGCAACTCTGCCAGGTGATGGCAATATCTTCCTTCCACCTTCAGTTTTTATGGTTTAAAACCCTGTATAGTAGTTGCTTTTTACTTCTCACATTCGCTAACACCCCACATCCCACCTGTTGAGAAATGCTATTAAATCTACAGTACTTCACAATCCAATTGCTTCTTTCCATCTTCAGTAATACCACCTGGCCCAAGTTACTATTGTCTCATCTCTCACCTGAGTTAACACAATAACCCTAAAGTCCTCTTCACTTCCACTGCTCTCCATCCTCAACACAAGTTGGAGTAATCGTTTAAAACAGAGGTCAGCAAACCTCTATAAAGGGAAGAGTAAGTATTTAGTCTTTGTAAGCCAAGAAGCAAAATCAGGGCTATTATAGAGCTATTTATATGACAAAGACAAATTTCCAAAAAAATTTTTGACAAAATTCAAAATGTAACTATAATTTAGTACAATTTTTTGTAATACAGGTATATTAATGAGAAAAAAATAAAATCCTTTTTAAAGGGATGGATATTACTTGCTTAATTAGGGTCCAAAGTCAGTGCACTTTATTGTCAAATCAACTGCAAATGTTTATCTGTAAAAATCATTCTAAGCTGTGGGCCACACAAAAAACAAGTAGTGGCATGGGTCTACCCTGCAGGCTATCATTTGCTGACCATTTTACAATATAATCAGATCGAATCACTCTTCTCTCTTATCATTTAGTTTTCTATTATTGGTCGACAAATTACTAGAAATTTAAGAGTTTAAAACAACACCCACTTACAATCTTCACAGTTCCATAGGTCACAAGTCCAAGTGGGCTTGATTTAGGGTCTCATGAGGCCAAAGTCAAAGTGACTGTAAATGAGGAGGATCTGGGAAAGACTGTTCCCAAGCTTTCAAGTTACTGGCAGAGGCCAGCTCCTTGAGATTGCAGGCCTGAGGTCCCCATTTCCTTGCTGGTATGATCTATGCCAACTGCTTTCCTCCAGCCCCCATGCACACCCCATTACCTCTCTGATATTATTTCCTACTACTCTCCCTCTGGCTTACTCTGTTCATTCACACTAGCTTTCTTGCTGTTGCTTGAACCTGCCAGACACACTCCCACTTGGGATCAATGCGTAGAATGCTCTTCTCTCAGATATCTACTTTGTTAACTCCAGTATCTCCAAGTCCTTGCTCAAATTTCACTTTTTCAATGATTTCGCTATTAATACCACAGCCTGCACTCTTACTCTCAACATTGCCTATTTCTCCTACCCTGTTCTTTTTTTCTACTGTACTTACCTCTCACATATTATATACTTTACTTATGTTTACTGCCTGTCCTTCCTTGCTAGAATTAAACTCCTCAAAGGTAAGAATCTTTTCCTATTTTTTGTTCATGGATGTACTCTAAGCATCTAGCACAGTGGCTGACACAAAATAAGTGATCAAAAATTCACTGAATGAATGAAAATTTGGAGAGTCCACTTTCTCTTTTCTATATATGTATGAAGTACTATATTGTGATGTAAGATATACTTTTTTTTTTTTTTTGGTACCGAGGATTGAACTCGGGACCTTGTGCTTTTAAGGCAGGCAGTGGAACCACTGAGCTAAATCCCTGGCTCTAAGATGTATTTCTTACTGTATAAAAATATATAAAAAGTATAAAAATTCCTGGGGATGGACATATGATTTCTGTGATCCTTCTCAAATTTGAGCAGTTAATAATTTTTTTGGGCCGGGGATTTAGCTCAGTGGTTCCACTGCCTGCCTTGCAAGCGGAAGGACCCAAGTTCGATCCCTGGTTCCAAAAAAAAAGAAATTTTTTTTCTTGGTACTGGGGATTGAATCTGGGCCTCTGTACTGAGGTACCTCCCCAGGCCTTTTTTATTTTGAGAAAGGATCTTGATAAGTTGCTAAATTGCCCATGCTGGGCTCAAACTTGTGATCCTGCCTCAGCTTCTTGACTGTTATGATTATAGGACTGTTCCACCATGCCTAGCTGAGCATTTATGCATTTCTATGGACAATTAAAAAATCATCACTATATCCTTCGGGAAGTGGCAGGCTCACAATCTAGGCACTATAGCAAGGCACTAAATTACTGAAATATAATGTTGACACTGAAAAAGCAAAATAGTCATCCCTACCTGTTCTATAGTTGAAGTTTTTAAAAGTTGAAAAAAACCCCTGTAAAAACAGCAAGAACTGTTAAATGCCCCAGAATATAAAAATCTGTAGTTAACCTGTCCATCAAAAAGACACATTACAGGGCTGGGGATTTAGCCCAGGGGCACTGCAAGGTCCTGAGTTTGATCTCTGGTAACAAAAAAAAAAAAGGACATATTACATTACAGTAAATGACAAGAGAATGTTTTCTAGATGAAAATTTCTCCAGTAAAACCTTACATTCACTTACTGAAGAAATGAGGAAGAATGAAAAAAGATTTCGCTTAAAGTCTCTGTGGTAGAAATTGTGACCTGAGCCGACTTCGGAAGTAAAGACCACTTCTGAAGTACGTAGGATTTCCATTCATTCACAGGCAGATCCATGCTACTTTCAATCTAGGAAGTGAATAAAACAGGAATTCAGATTTCTACAGAAGAACAATTCCATAGAATCAAGATTTCATCCAAGCAAGCGTGAAGCAACAAAATCAATTCTTGTGGTCTTTTTCTATATTTGTTCACAAGCTTGAAGAAGGATCTATTTTGTCACCTCAATTCATCCAACATCCTTTTATTCAAGGCCCTGAGTTTGATCTCCGGTACCCCCCCGCATCTTTTCATTCAGAAATACTCATTAAAATCCTACTTTGTTCTAGGAATTATTAGGTGGTGATTACACAAAGATGAATCAGATTACTGTACATAGCTCCCACAAGTCCTTCTAGACCTCCATCTACTCTAGTTGCTCAAGTCATTCTAGATTTTTCTTTGTTGTTCACTCTAGCGATGAAGTTAAATATTTCTATCTCTTACGTAGTTCAGTTTTCTGCTTCAATACCCAGCTCACTCTTCCATTTCGAGTCTTAACCATCTCTTGGCATTCTTTCCAGTGCCATAACTAGTCTCCACATCCTCTCCTTCCAACCCATCCTCCACGCAGAGACAGACTTCAGTCCTCTGCCTTAAATCCATCAATGCTCCTCCTAGCCTATAGTAAAGTCTAGCACAAACTCAACATTCGCTCACTTTTTCTCTTCTTTCTCTGTATCCTACAATAGGAAGGTATACCCATTGCTATCCCCAGCTGGCCAAATTTCATCTCTTCAGTGTTTTTGCATAGGCCATTTGTCCTACCAGGAGCATTCTGACTCACTTGGAGTCCACCTGGCAAATTCCTGCACGTTTGCCTCAGTGATTTTCCATCTGTGATTCCATCACACGTGGGACCCCCATCGCATCTACCTTGAGTTCAGGCTCCTCACGTGGAGACTCCTCGTTAGGCTGTGCTCTCCTCTGACTGGGCCGCCCGTATCTACCGACAGGGATGACACTGAGTCAAACTCCCGGCCTGGAAAGGGTAGAAAGCCTGGAACGGGCAGAAGGCCTGCACCGGGCTACTGAGGGAACCAGGCCACTGCTTTGATTATATTTAGCAGCAGTGTTATCAGGAAACACCTCCGACCGTCCTCTGAGCTACTATTCTGTCCAAATGTCAAGGCCTCGGTGGGTATGATTCCCAGAGCGCGTAGAGAAGACTTCGGGAACTGGCAGCCCGCGCTCTCGGACACACCCGGGACCCACTTGGCGCGCAGCTCCGTTTGGCGCCCCGCCCCAAACCCCCCATCCCGCCACTAGGCCTCGAACCCGGTCTCGGCGAGTCACGTGAGCAACTCACCGCGCCTCGGCCAATAGGGTGGCTGCGAGGCACCTAGGCCCGCCCTCTTGCCTCGCGCACGTCAGGGGCAGGAGAGGCGCGCACAACTCCTCCAGCCAATCACGGTGCAGCCCGCTGGACCGCCCCCCCCCCCCGGTAGTAAAGGTGGATCAGTTGAAGAGCTCCAACGCGGGAGTTGGACTGCGGAGCCATGGCTGGCCAGCTGAGCGAGGGAGCCATTGCGGTAAGGAGGCGCCTGGGAGCGGCCCGGGTGGCGGTGGCCCGGGGCCGTGAAAAGTCCGGAAGGGGGAGGGAGCCGGGGACGATGGGGAGAGAACACGGGAGGGGGAGATCGCTGGGGTCGTGGGGGAACAGCCGGGGTGAGGGTCTCTCTCCTATCATCACCCCCTTCTCAAGGATTCTTCTAGTCGTCTTTTACACGTATTTACGTTTCTCTTACTTAAGAATACAAAACAAAATAAACACTCTCCTCCCTCCCTCGGCCACTCTTGTCTCCTTCCCTTCCGGTCCACAAACTTTTCACTTGTCTGTTTTTAACTGTTTCATTTCCTTACCTCCAGTTAGCTCTTTAGTCCTCTGCAGTCGGAGATTCTCTTAATCACTATAGAAAGAACTCTGACTGAAGTTAACCAGTGGACTTCAAGTCGCTAAATCCGACAGACACTTCAGTTCTCAGTTTATCTGAATTCTCAGCAGTGTGTGGGCCTGTTGATCATCATTGCTGACCTTTCCCCTTATTTGGAGACTCGTCTGTATAAATTTTTGTTACTTCAAGGCTCTCTCTAGGCCCTCTCCCCACAAAGGCAATTTTCATTACTTTGTAGATGTTAGTCGTTCACTAATTTCTTTGTGCTGAGCCAATTTAGTCTAAAAGACAAGCTTCTTTCTATATATATCTTCAGCATATTCCAAAGCGAATCCTTTACCTTAATCTAGACCACTTGATGTCTGTAACTCAGTGAATAGCACCAGTATCTATTAAGTTACCATAGCCAGAAATTAAGGAATCATTCTTCCTACATTCTCCATCATTCTGGATGTCTACTCCTTCACCAGGCGAATTATATTTTATCTCCATATTGATCTTTTAAGTTCATCTACTTCTCTCCACATTGGCACCATTTCTTGCCTGACTACTCTCTCAACACTCTCTCCTCCAACCATTCCCATCTCAGCATATTCCCACTTGATCTCTCCTTCTCCAGCTTTTAAAAATCTAAATTTATAATATAGTGTATATTCTTGCCTTCCACCGGGCTCTTGATTGTTCTTTTTTCTTCTGCCCACTGCCTGGATTGTTCTTCATTCCTCCCTCCCTCAACTAGATAATATCCCCTATACCTGTAGCAGTGCTGGCAAGATTTAGGTGCCTAATAAAATGCTAGTTGCATTGAATGAATAAGGCAGTGAAAAGAAAAGGGCAAAGGTGAGTAGGAAAGAGAGGCAACTTGGGAGAAAACGAGAAGAGGAAGAACAATTGTCAGAGTCAAGTGACTCTTTGAAAAAATTAGGGATGTACAAATGCTGAAGCCTGGGAAGTGACTGCAAATTGTAGTACTCTTTAACTGTATAGCTGCTGCCTTGCACCTTTAAGACAAATTAGGAATGGTTCTTTATTCTTTTTTACAGTACTGAGGATTGAACCTAGGGCATTGAATGACATTCCCAGACCTTTTTTATTTGTTATTTGGAGATAGGGTCTCACCAAGTTGGTAAATTGCCCAGCTGGGCTCAAAGTTGTGATCCTCCTGCCTTAGCCTTCCAGAATACTGGAATTACAAACATGCCCCATCATGCCTGGCCGGTTTTCCACTTTTTTTTATGTCTGCTTTTTTATATCATTTGTATGTGTATACAATACCAAATAATTACGTTCATCTTGATCATTAGTACTCTTAAGTCTTACAAAGAATATTCCTTGGATTATTTAAATAATTTGGTAAATTTTTCTTTATCTTCCATTTTAGAAACCTTTTTCTTCTTTTTTTGAGACAGGGTCTTTATAGTTCAGGCTGGCCTTGAACTCACTATGTAGCCCAGGCTGATCTCAAACTTGCAGCAATCCTCCTGCCTCAGTCTCCTGAGTGCTAGGATTACAGGCGTGTGTAGAAACCTATTTCTAGTGTTAAGTATTACTTGAGTTTTTTTCATTAATGGAATTTTCAAATGTGCTCGTGATGGAATGTGGAGAACCTTTGTTAACTTTGATTATCAGCTAAAGCAAGTATTATTTTTGTTCAAAAGATGAAAGCCCCAAAGAGTAAGCAAATAGCACACAAATGATGGTGTGGTTTTGAACAAAAGCTATCATTATGAGAGATTATACCTAGTGTTCCACTAAGCTGTGAGGGCTGTGTGGTAGCCAGGCATGGTCATGCAGACCTGTAATCCCAGTGCCAGGAGGCTGAGGCAAGAGGATTGCTTCGAGTTCAAGGCCAACCTGAACTACACTACATAGTGAGACCCTGTCAGAAAAAAACAGAAAGAAATAGAGTGGGTTTTTATTTGTTTTTGTTTATACTTTAAAATTTTTTATTAGTACATATTTACAGTACATATTGACTACATTCATTGTGGGGAGTTGGTACCTGTACAAAACATGGTCTGTATTTGAATTTTAAAATTTTATTGCAATAAATGACCCATTGCAAGGTGTGATTAAAAGATACAGTGAATGGTGCTGCCTAGTACCATCCAACAGATTTGGCAAGCTAGTAAAAACGAGGGCTGGGGATTTAGCTGAGTGGTTCCGCCACCTGCCTCGAAAGCACAAGGTCCTGAGTTCAATCCCCGGTACCAAAAAAACCCCCAAAAACACATTATGGTATGTCTCATTCACTGCATCTAGCACCATGAGACTTGTGGCTCCTCCCCAAATCAAAATGACCATGAAAGGTAATTGTTTTGAATAGATTCAGGACATCAAGACAGCTACATCAGTGCAACTAAAGACACTCATGAAAGGAAATTTCCAGAACACCTTCAAAAGGTGGCCAGAATGATGGGATAAGTATTTTGAAGTGAGGGGGGAGTATTTTGAGGGAGATTATTGGCAGTATCTTTTACTGTAATAAATTTTAAAAATTTAAACACTGGCTGTATATGTGTAATTTTTTGGTCCCGGGGATCGAACTGGCTATGTTTTTTTATTACACCTTGTATATCCCCTACCCAGCATTTATGTCTTAAGTAATTTAGTTATGGAAAGGGAAAGGGAACTAATGTTTTTCAACTTTTTTTTTTTTGGTACTGGGGATCAAACTCGCATCCTTGCGCTTGCAAGGCAGGCAGTGGAACCACTGAGCTAAATCCCCAGCCCTCAACTTTTATTTTTTAATTTTACTTTTTACAGTACTGGGAATTCAACTTAAGGCCTTTGGATTATCCCCATCCCTTTGAGACAGGGTCTTGCTGCTAAATTGCCCAGGCTGGACTTGAACTTGAGATAATCCTGCTTCAGTCTCCCAGAGAGCTAGGATTACAGGCACTTGCCACCAGCTAAACTTAGGCTTGCCCCCGCCTTTTTTTATTTTGAAACAGGGTCTCCCCTAAGTTGCCCAAGTGGGCTCAAACTTGTGATCCTCATGCCTTGGCCTCCCAGAGCCCTGGAATTATAGGTGTGTACCACTGCACCTTGCTGCTTTTTTTTTCTTCCCCATTTCTAATGTAGTGGGTACTTTAAAGTCAATACTTAAGTAAACCTGTAAGGTTTATATTATTAGTTCCTCCAATTTACAGTTAAAGATGTTAAAGTGCAGAGGGGTTAAATACAATAGTCATTTGGAAAATTTAAAGCAGTTTTAAGTGTGTCATACTATACGTCTGAGAATAAAAGAAATCTTACAATCTATATTCATGATAATATTTTATTTTATTTTTTGAGACAGGATCTCACTATGTAGTTCAGGCTGGCCTTGAATTTACAGTGATCCTCCTGCCTCAGCCTCCCAAGTGGTGGGATTACAGGCATGCACCACCATGCCTGGGTCATTTTTTTCCTTTTTACCTTTTTTTTCAGTGCCAGGAATCAAACTCAGGACCTTACATTTGTGAGACAGACATAGCACCACTGAGCTACATCCCCACCCCAAACATTTTAAATTAAAAAGAATAAAGTATATGGATGTGATTTGAAAAACAAATAGAACAGAAAAATGTTTAATGAAACTGCTGATCATCTGCCCCACCTTGCCCAGTTATATTCTCCAGAAATAACTATTTTTTTAAAAAACTACCTGCATTGAAGTTTTGTTTATAGATGTTAAATGTACCCTTTCAGTGTACAGTGCTTCCCTGTAACATACTACCCCATCTGAGGTATAGAATGTCTTCAGTACACATAATTTTATCTTCATTCTTCCCTGTGCCCTACCCATAACCCAAGGCTACCACTGAACTGGTTTCTATCATTACAGATCAGTTTTAAAACTTCATTTAAAAGGAATCAGCATGGCTTTTTCTTTTTTGAAGAAGGATCTTGCTTTGTGGACAGGCTGTCTTCAAACTCCTGGGCGATACTCCTGCCTCAGCCTCCCAAGTAGCTGGGACTACATATGCATACTAGCACCATGCTCAGCTTTTGATTTCTTCCAGGAAGATGTGTTTGTTTTTGATACCAAGGATTGAACTCAGGACTATGTGCTTGCGAGGCAGACACGGTGCCACTGAGTTAAATGCCTGGCCCTGTTTGGTTTTTTAGATCCATCCATGTTGTTTCAGGAGTTAACACATTATTATTTTTAATTTTTTAATTTTTTTCACATTTTTATTATTGAGTAGTATTTCATGGAGTATTGTAATACAGTTTGTTTATCCTTTTTAGGTTTGATCTTTTTGGTGCTGGGGATCGAACTCGGGTCCTTGTCACTTGCGCAGCAGGCGGCGAAACCACTGAGCTAAATCCCCAGCCCCAGTTTGTTTATTCTTGTTAGACATTTGTTCTGTTTTCAGTTTTAGCTACTGTAAATAAAAAGTTATGAACATTTATATACAAGTCTTTATAAATATTTATATTGCATCTAAACTATTAGTAATATATAAATATTAAATTATATGTATAAAGTAATATAGATAATTATAAATTAGTGTCTAGTGTATAAATATATATCTAATAGTACAATTGTTGGGTCATACAGTGACTGAATGCTTTTTGTGTGTGTAGTGGGGATCAAACCTCTACCATTGAACTATAATTCTCAGCCCTTGGCTATATCTTTTTTTTTT